TGCTTACATAAGCAAAATGGAAATAGACTTACTGCCTTCTCAGACACACATCCAAAGCTGAGATTCATGAGGAGTTCAGCTGCTTGAGCACGGCAGAATTCAGTGCCAGCTTTGTTGTGTCATCCTGTGTCACTGGGGAAACACTGGGAAGCCAAGTTTTTAGGACAGAGAGGAAGCTGTTGGTCTGGTTGGGCACAGAACTGTGGGACCCGCACTGTCGTTGCTTTCTCCTGCCTCTTGCATGTGGCTTTGACATCTTTATCTGCATTACCAGCTGGAGGAAGTGGCTGCAGGGAAACTGCATCGCTTTCATTTCCCCTGAGCCTGAAAGTGGGGCTTCATTTCCTAAACCAGGAGGGAGCTGGAGCTGTGTGCTGTGAGCGGCACAGCACTCCGCAGTGATTTCCTTCAGGTTCCTGATGGACAAAGCCTTTGGGGCTAGAGAGCAGCTGTAAGCAGCTGGAAGGAGGAGCCCTGTTGGGGTACTCCAGGGCATCTTAGCAACAAAAACGTGGAGAAAGAGATGGAGAGCTGCAAAGCAGTGCAATTAAGGGAAACCACAGTAAATGTGCAGACTGAAAAAGGAAAAGGAGTAAGAGAATGACAGCATAATGGGGGAGTGGGTTGCCAGAAGAGAGAAATGCATAAAATCTGCAGACAAGAGAGGCTTTCAGCAGGCGGTGTGGTTATGTATGTGAACAGGGCTGCTGCTGCCTCTGGGGCTGGGGGCCAAGCTGTGGGGTCTGTGAGGTGCTGGGAGCTGGGATCCTGCACGCTGTGCCCTGCAGGCCGTTATTTATAGCAGCAGGAAAAGTTTGCTCAAGCTGTCATTTGTGTGAGCTGCAGTCTAGCTCTCTCTATCCCTCCCGCTCTTGCTTTCTTCAGATTTTCACTGTAATTAGCACGCTTTACATGAGCCAGGTCAGGGCTGGCAGCTTTCTTTAGAAGTCTGTGTTCTCCAGGCAGGAATAAGGAAATGTTTTTTCTTCTGGGAATACTGAACCTGATCCTTTGTTTTATTTCAAGGATTATTCTCATGCGCTGAGATGGTGGCCATGCGGAGGGAGGAGCAGAAGCACAGATCCCCTCTGAAGTTGCAGTGACAGAAGCCTGTGTCTGAAAATGCAGTCAGGCTTTCAAGGTTCCCTTTGAGCTTTGATGCAATAGAAAAATCTTCTAGGGATTCTCATCCATGCTGATAGGGGCTGGCTGGGGATGAGAACAGCCTGTTAGTCAGTGTAAAGCTGTTCTGCTGTCACTTACCTCAAAAGCCTGTTTCCTTTAGCATCCGAAAAGCTTCCTTTTGAGCATGCCCAGCAATGGACTGAGAAGAGCAGAGGGTCAGTATTTGGACATGGACAGTCAGTAGCTGTGTTATCTATATCTGTGATGTGATATAGCTGCTATTATTCAAGGGAAGGAGATTTACAAGCTGAAATTCACAATTCTGGTATGGGATTTTAGGAAATACAATGCATTTGTGCTTGCAGAATGTATGTTAAAGGTGCTGTGCTGACCCTTATGCTCAGCATAACAATGCTCAGCAGCACAGGTAATGTCTTGCCAGAGAGAGCTCATTCATTTGGAGCTTGATCATTAGTCTGTTAATGTTCCAGGGTGAACATTCAAAGGAAACTGAATCTGTTTGTGATATGAGCACATGGCCTGGCTTGGCACCAAGGGGAGCCTGCCTCTGGTCCTCTGGGTGCTAGGGATGGATTACATTTCATGGGATCCTGTTGGAAAAAATGGACTCATGGCTTTGGTAGCTGTTGATATTATTTGTGTGAAGCCAGAGTTATATGGAGGTGGGGAATGATTGAGCTAGCTCAATAGAGAGCTAGCTTTCTATGCAAGACTTTTATTGAATGTGTTTGCAAGAATAACTGATGTTTCTGCTCACAATGTATCCCAAGTGTAGATTAATGCTCAGTGAAGGCTCTGAGAAATCCAGAATTGGGCAAGAAAGAGAAGAGATCAAATTGATAAGAGTACAAGACATGCTCTGTGTAGGAAGAAGCTATTGGAAGGTGAGAACCTGGGAAGGATGAATCCTGGGATGGTTTGGGGCAGAACGGGAGCGGTCAGACCTGCATTTGCAATGAGACACAGAGGGTATTTTTCAAGGAACTTGTCATAGCACATGAGATTTCTCCCTTTTTAAAGCACTACTGCAGAATAATGGCTCCCTTGAATAGCGCGTTGGGGTCTATTTCCTGGGAATATCATCCAAGCTCTGGGATAAAAAGGATTGGGCAGCTTGAGAGACTGGTAGAAGGGAAGGACTTGTAGGATATCATGGTTTTGGAGTCACTTGTGAAAGCACAGTGAGGTAGGCTAACAGCTTTCCTGGGACCATTAATGAGAGTAGAGGAAAAAGCCTGCGAAAGGGCAGTGTGCTGAGAGTTGTAAGAAGCAAACCTTAGTGATGAATGACAGGGAGGAGCAGTGAGAGCTCAATTGTTTGAGTCACTTCCAACAACCAGAGGAGGACTCCAAAGTTCAGATCTCACCCTGCGTGGCTTAAGGCGTGGATAGAACACTCACACCTTCAGATGCTCAGCAGCCTTGCTCAGGGGCCTGGTGCTGCCCTGCTGCTTTTGGGGAGGGCAGCAGGACGCGGTGCTGACCGCGCTGTTTTGAGTTTGGCACTGATCTTCCTTTCTCCCACTTCTTTCACTTTTCTCTCATTTTGGCAGTGGTGGTCCATTCAGCTCCTGTAGAATGACTGGTGGCTTTCCCTGGAATGTGAGTCATCCTCTAGGGAATTCCTGAAGCAGTGAGTCAGGTTATTGGGAAAACTTTGCCCACTAGCGTGAAATAGGAAGCTAGAGTGCCTGTGGTATCGTAGAAAGGCAGTCCTTTTCAGTGTGGCTGGAGTTGTCCTTCCTTCCCAAAGACAGACACTTCAAGATGAGCTGCAGCAGGGAAACATCACTGAATTTATTTATTTTCACCTTGAAACATGCTGCTCCTGATTTTTCCTCCTATTTTAGAAGGTGGCTGGTCTGATAAATGTTCTAGATGAATGGAAGATATGAATTTGTCAGGATTTTAGTGAAAAATAGCTTGGTTAAAGAAACAAGGCTGGCAGATAGACATCACTCAGTTGCACCTGATATATTCCTTTGCCATTCACCACTTCACCTCACCGTGGCTGCATTAACCCAGCTCTGGTTGTTTTTCCAATGTGCAAATTAATAGGTGTGTCCTTTGCAGCCATGAATTAACGAATTCTGAATACAGCCATGGCAACAGAACCCAAAGAACTTCAGTCCCCAATGTTGGTTGGCTCCAGGAAAAATTAACTATTGTAATTTATATGCTGGCATGGTTTGGCCATGGTTGTGCTTGCTTTGCCTGCATATGCCAGATTTGGGGTGCCTGGCCTTTCAGCAGACCTGTGTTGGCTCTTCCTAGCAATAACTTCCAGCATTCTTTTCTTCCCCATTGAAGCCAAGCTTTTCTCGTCACTGGTTGCTTGCTATTAAACATTAGTAGGCTTTATTACTCTGTAGAACAGTGAGTTCTATTTGAAATACAAAATTAGTTTCACTTTTCAATACTTTTTTTTTTCCCCTAGCAACTTGGTCATTATTTTTGCTCAAGCTTGGAATCGCAGAAAGCTCAGATTGTGGGCTTTGCTAGCACAGATGTAGGTGGTTGCAGATATGTCGCCATTGATGCACCAATTGGGTGTTGTTTTTAACTCAATTAATGTCAGCAGCCTCGGATCGTGCTCTTTCTCCACTCCTAGGCTTTCAGTAGAGTGGCTCATTTTTAGGTAAGGCTGTCTGTTGACTTCTGCCATTTCTTGACCCCTTATGAAGACTTAATTTTCTGACAGGTCTGAAGTTTGGAGATTAACTGTGTTGCTACTGACGTGATGAGGTCACCTTGGTGATAGTGGGGGCCATAGGGTGAGGTTGTTCTTGCCTTGTTCTCCCTCAGGGGAGCCTGGGGGCTCTGGTCCCAGGAACGGCTCTGAACCAGCACCAGAACTGGAGGGTATGTCTTCCCAAATAGAGGATTTCTTTGCTATATCTTGAGTTTGAGGATCCCTCATCCTGCTTTTAACTGCTGGTTGTAAAGCTGTGAACACTACTGTGAAAAATAGTGCTTTGTTGGCATTTAAACTGAAAATGGTGAGAGTTGAGAAAATTCTTTGTTTCTACGGAAGAGCATCCACACAGTGGGCACGAAAACACCAAGTACTTGTGCTAATTGTTCCACTGTCTCTGTATCTATTTCTCACTAAAAAAATCATTAAGAATATGTGTTCAGGTTGGCCAAGAGTAGCTTTGTTCCTCAAGGCAGGCTGGTGGGGCACTGCCACAGGCTAATGGGGAGAGTTCTACCTGGTTTTACCCTTGCATTACTCCATGGCTGTGTGTGGCTCCATGGGAAGGAAAGGGATGGATGCTGCCATGTTTCAGTAGTTGTCGTTTTTCTTAAATGTTTCTCTCTTGTGTTGGGGGGAAAAAAAAAAAAGTCTTGTAGTTCATAGGATCACAGAATCATGAAGGTTGGAAAAGATCTGTAAGATCGTCAAGTCCAACTCATCCCCACTGTGCCACCGACCGTGTTCCTAAGTGCCACATCTCCACACTCCTTGGACACCTCCAGGGATGGCGATTCCACCGCCTGCCTGGGCAGCCTGTGCCAATGCAGTACTGTTCTTTCTGAGAAGAATTTTTTCCTCATACCCAACCTGAATCTCTGTGGCCCAGTTTGAGGCCATTACATCCTGTCCACATGCTTGAAAACTTGAACCCTTTGTGTGCTGAGCCCTAAAATATAACCGAGATGTGTTAAAAGTAGCATCCCTTTTGAAAATGTATACGTGTGTTTTTAGATCTCAGTCAATGGCTCTTAGTGCCTTGGGTTATCAGTGGTGGTATTTCAGTATTGTGGACCATACACCCTTTGTGGTGTGCTGTGTGTGAAATCACCCTACAGGAAAATGACCGTTCTGGAGCAAACCAGGAATGTGATAACAAATCCTCTGCTCTCGTAGGCAGATTGGTCTCCTCATGGGAAAAGAGGGACTGTTTCTTAAATGAAACGGAGCAACCATCTGATACGAAGCTTTAGAAATTCCGAGGTGTAAATTGCCAGGCTGTGAGGTTGAAGATGGTGCAGGACTGCTGAGAGCAATTTCTGCCTGAGCGAGATGTGTCTGGAGTGAGAGCCTAAAAGGAATGATGTGAGCAAGGAACATGTGCAGCTGGGAAGCATCTTGATGCTTCTGCTGCCCGAGGAAGGGAGCTCTGAAGAAACATTAGGGAGGAAAAAGCACCTGTGTTGGGCCAGATAGCTGCTCTGTTCTTGTTCTCAAAATGCTGTGACCAACACTGCTGCATTTCCAAGGATGCAGTCATGGCAGCATTTATGATGTAAACTGGTGGGCTGTGCAGGTAAGTGCTTGTCCTGTGGATGGATCTGAGAGATCATCTTATACATTTTGAGTGTTTGTGTCCTGGTCTAACCTAATCACGTTAGTTCTGTACCCGTGTCATTGTCACTGTAATGTGGTGGCCCTCTGGTGAGGGAGCTGTGTCTGAAGTGTGCCAAGCCCCAGGAGGATCTCCGAACCTTTCCTTTCTCAGACCTTGTGGCTTGGTCTCCTGGCTCTAGCATTGCTTCTCACTTTATTTCCTTCTCCTTGGAAAATAGAGCACAAAGGAGAATCGAAATCTGCTGCTGCTTGATAGCGCTCATCCTCTTCTGGTGTACCGTGTAGTTTGTCTTCCAGTTCCAACAGGAGCCTCTTCTATCTCTTGTGTGCCTTGTTGTAAGATGCTCTGAGATCTTCCCATCCAGGGAAGGCACTTGTCAAAGGTGCGGATGTTTTTCTTTCAGCTGTCCACAGCTTATTCCTGCTGTTCTTTGCTAATGGTTGTTACGGGTAGGTTGCACAGGGGAGTTGTATGGCAACAGATCTTGTTCATGCTGTATGCTGGGTCCTTCAGGAGGTGCTGGAGAAGAGATGTGCTCCCGTGTGTGCAGACAGCCAACACCTGGCCGATTTTGAAACACTTTGCAAGGATGAAACCACATTGTCCACTTCAATCAGCAAGCAAGGAACAATTCCCAGATTGTGAGAATCCAAGCTCAGGAACTGGAAGAGCTCCCTTGAGGCCTTTGAAAAGGGCTGGCCAAGGACCAGTAAAATTTGTTCCAAGTTCTGATTGATGATTTCCATCAAGTACAGTAAGTGCTTATGGAAAGGCATGCTCAATGGGAACAAGAGGTTTCTGCAAGCTGCAGGGGTGATGACACAAGCCTGTGTTGCTTATGGGGTGTGCTTGTTTGAGCTTCAGGTTGGGGTGAGCTGCTGGGGCTGGAGGTGCTGCTTTTCCAGGGGAAGGGTTTGCATTTTATGAAGCAGCACTCACTGAAGGATCAAGAGCTGTGTGGTTCATCATGCTGAGTGTCACTTTTGGTCACCTGAAGTTGACAGAATTGTTATTGTACAATAAAAAATATGATTTGGCACCTGCAAGAAATACAGAGAGCTTCAAGAGCTCCAATAAGCAGGAGAAGGTGAAGAAGCGCTGGCATGCTTACAAGGGACAGAACGTGGTTCTGCTGATGTGAGGAGACAGGGAAAGTTGTATGGCAATGTGGGAAGTGCTCACAACTGCAATCCTGAGCGGCGGCATTCCAGGTCATGTGCCCAGTGGCATCACATCCTGTGCTTCGCAGGACTGGCACGTGACCCAGGGGAGGCTGAGCAGCACCAGGACGGGTGGTGGAGGTGGGGATGCAGCACTGTGCATCCAGAGGGCTCACAGGAAGCCGGTGTGGGCATGGCTGTGCCCTGGGTGGCTGTGCGAGCCTGGAGCCGGCCCTGCTGCTGGGGTCAGTGCGGGTGGGCTGCTGTGGTACAGGACCTGCACACAGCCCTTTTCCTTTGGCTGCGTTCAGCTTGTTCTTGTGTACCTTCGTCTGAGGCGAATGTCAGATGTGATGGGATGTTGGATTAGGCTAAATCTCTGAGATTTAGCTGGAATGTTGTCTCGCTGTAGCGTTTTTCTCCCTTGCTCTTTTCTCTAAGGCTTCCCCTACAGACAGCTAATTCTCCCCTTCCCCCACATCCTGTCGGACCCCAGAGCATGTCACAAGGAATTAGCGGCTGAAAAGGCCAGCGGAGGCTGCTCCTCTGGAACAGGCTCTCCTTTCTGAGCCCGGGCCGGCCCCTCTGTGTGCCCGCTTTGTGTCCCGGCCAGCTCCCCTCCCCCTGGCCATTCAATGCATGCCAGAGCTGAGGCTGGGCCCCGGCACCTTCCCAGCGCTGCTGCCCTGTGCCATCTTTCGGGGCCCAGGGGCTTCCCGCAGAGCCAGAGATGTGCCACAGGAGGAGATGAACCTTCCTTCCCGTCTCCGTGCCGCTGGCAGCGTCGCCCGCTTTCACTCCAGCTCCTTCCCATAATTCACATACAGTCTCCTTAGAATAGAGATGATGTCACTTCCTTCTAGAGGGTGCCGGGGTGTGGAATGGGGAGTCACGACCCCCCTGGGCTTGGTGGCTCTGGCAGGATAAATGAGGTGGCTGCCCAGGAGGGAGGGAGGAGTTGCTCTGAGAACGATGCCCAGCACTGTGTGCAGACAGGCGCTGTGCTGTGCTCCCCTTTGCTGGCTGGGATTTTCAGTGACTGCAAGAAGAATTTGCTGCTCCCTCCCTCACTCATGATGCCCGTCTCTGTGGATCTGCACTTTTCCTGCGACATCCTTACGGGAGAGAAGAATACCAAACGGCTAGACCGCAGGCCATGTAAGATTTCTGCTTCCATCCGTCTCACTCTGAGCTGAGAGCAGAGGCTCTGGGCTCCTTGCATGCAGGGCTTGTGCCTGCATGCGTTTTCCCCCCCTCGTTTCAGCACTGGGTCTCCTCGCAGCAGGGTGTAGATTTCAGGGTCTGGGGAATTTTTCACTCTTTGGGGCAATTTTGGGAGCACCACAAGGGATTCTTGGTATTACAGAAGTAGGGTCATTGTTCTCAGGGTTGGCTGCACTCTATCCTTGCACTTTTCTTCCCCTCTCCCTGCTAGAGTCTGATCTTCATCTTCTGGAAATGTAACTCATGAGTTTATTCGCAGGAGGGAGGGTGACTTTTTACGTGGGCATGTAGTGATGGAACAAGGATAAATGTTTTTTAGTTAAAAGAAGGGAGATTCAGGTTGGGTTTGAGGAGGAAATTCTTTACCCAGACGGTGTTGAGGCTCTAACACAGGATGCCCAAAGAAGCTGCGTGTGTCCTATTTCTGGAGGTACTCAAGGCCAGGCTGAATGGTGCCCTGTGCAGCCTGATCTGGTGTGGGGGCAACCAGCCCTCAGCAGGGGTTGGGGATGGGTGGACTTTGAGATCTCTTCCAGCCCTATCATTCTGTGGTTCTATGATCTTTAAGGTCCCTTCCAGCCCAACCCATTATATGTTCTTTGATCTTTAAGGTCCTTTCCAACCCAACTATTATATGGTTCTGTGGTCTTGTGATCTGTTGCCCTGGAACGAAGCCAGAATTCTTATAGTGACACCATTGTAGTTTTTTTGTTGTTTAATTTTGTAGGCTTTACAGTCTGAGGCCTTCTGTCATCTCCTTTCTGTTCAAATGGGTGGCAAGGCTTCAGACCTCAATGTTTAGTTTTTGCACAGGCAGTCTTTGGAAGTGAATCATGACTCTTTTTGCAGTGCACGGGTTGCTCAGTTAGCACACAGTGATGAGTGGCAGCCCTGTGCCCATTTCTTGGTGTTGCAGGGTTGGTGGTGGTGAGACTGGGAATCTCCAGATGGCCAGAGGAGCGAGGAGTTTGAAAGCAGAGCTGCAGCGTACCGAGTGCTCTGAATATTTTGTGCTAAGGAAATGCTAATCCAACTAATGTTGTAATTTCACATGTGCTGTGTGTGTGGAATGGAGCGTTTCCTTCACCCAAGTGAAGTACGAGCTGAAGTGTCAGCCTGTTTGCTGTGTAAAGGACTGCCGTTTGCAGGAATCAGGCAGGTTTTCAGTGCTTGGTATGGGAACAGATAGGTAGCACAGCAGGTTTTAGGGTGGTCAGCACAGCAGGTAAGGGGAGGGTTACTACATGTGACTGGTGAATGATTTGGTAGGATGAGGATGCTTCCATAACTGCAGCACTTGGTGCTGTGACAGACTGGGCTCCGTCACAAACCCAGCACCTGTGTTACTTTGAGGGTTCGAATGACCTAAGTGTGATCTTGTGATTCGTCCTGGTTTTTACACCTACAGACGTGTGCAAGTTGAGTTTTTGGTGTGGTTTGTGAGGCGTGTGGTGGCTGTGGGCAAACAGGCCGTAGATAAGATAAAGGAAATCAGAAGTTGACAAAACCTCTGCAGATGAGGGTTGAAGTGTGTTGTGCCAGAAATGCAGAAGGGAGATAAGGTGCACTGCAGGGATGCACAGAGCTGGTCTGACCCCAGGGACTTGGGTTGGAGCAGATTGGAGCATGCACAGCAGCTCTGAAACAGTGTGGGAAAGCTGTGCTGGAGGAGGTAGCTGGGTAGCCCTGCAGTCTTGTGACTTCTACCACTGCTGTTTCTTTTTTTAAAAAGGATTTGTGTAGCTTTAGAAACAGGAGCACAAACAAAACGTGGGGAAGAACAGCCAGCCCCTCAATCTTCAACCTTTTTTAATTGTCAGGGCCAGTGTGAGCACAAAGGAGATGTGGAGCTGGCAGGATTCTTCTGCGCAACTTGTGGCTAAGTGAGAGATCACCTGGGAGTTTGCTCCCTCGGCTGTAAGTGCTTTCTGCTGGGAGCCAGTCAATAGCTTCCCCAGATGCTGCTAACTGCTAATGGGGATTTGGCTTGCTGAGCCCTGTGAGGACTGTCAGTGCTGGACACGAGAAGGGGATGGCAGCAGGCATGCCTTTGGAAGGACGTGGTAATGGGACTTTTTTGGGGACTGAGAGCGCTGTAACTTGTCCAAAGCAGCTGACCTGTTTCTGACACGTGGTCCTAACAGGATTCCTGTTAATCTCAAGAAGTGGAGCTGAGTGAGTGGCAGTTGTGTGCGGCGAGTTACATACCTGCTTCACCCAACACTTGTCACTCTTCAGACAGCACCTTCCTCTCCTGCACTCTCCTTTTCGAGCGTGCCATGCCTCCCAGTGCTGGGAGGAGGAAGCTCTGCCATCTTGGGTGTCAAGTAGGTTAGCTCAGATGTAGGCCTTCTGCTGACCTGTGGCTGTGGGGCTCTGTCGCAGGGGTGAGGAAGGTCAACAGTGTCTTTGCTTCTTTTCTCTTCTAGGAGGTGAGCATCGTGCCTGCTGACCTTTCTCAGACCCGCTAGCCATGCCAGGGATTGTCGTGTTCCGCCGTCGCTGGTCTGTGGGCAGCGATGACCTCGTTTTGCCAGCAGTCTTCCTCTTCCTCCTGCATACCACCTGGTAAGTGAGAAAGGCAGGGTGATGGTTTGAATTCCTCCATGAAATGCGTGCTGATTCTGCTTCTTGTAGCTGTAATTCTTGTGCTTACATATGCAGCTAAAAGGCTTGTATGGGCATTTTCGACAGCCACCAGCATATTTCCAGCTTCTGGTTGTTTGCATAAGTGCTCTTCTAAGCTCAATTTCCAAAGAGAAAGCCTGGCCCGATCTCCTTGTATCCTCCTGTGCTACCCAGGGTTGGAGTTTGGGCTGTGTTACTGTACAGGGCTCAGGAAAAAGCAGTTGAAATAACAAATTCTGGGCATCCTGATCTAGTAAGTGGCAATCAGCCCACGGCAGGGGGTTGAGACTGGATGGGCTGTAAGATCCCTTCTAACCCAAGCCATTCTATGAGTATATGATCCCATGGGATATGTGACTTGGCATCTCTGTGCATGTCAGGTTTGTGATCCTCTCCGTGGTGCTCTTTGGGCTGGTGTACAACCCCAATGAGACCTGCTCGCTGAACCTGGTGGACCATGGCAGAGGCTACCTAGGCATCCTGCTCAGCTGTATGATCGCAGAGATGGCAATCATCTGGCTCAGCATGCGAGGCAGCATCCTGTACACTGAGCCCCGAGACTCCATGCAGTATGTGCTCTATGTCAGACTGGGTAAGATGCAGCGGCCTGAGGCCTCCTAATGACTCAGCCTCCACACTGCCATCTGCTAGCGCAGAAGACTTCTCTCCCCACACCCTGACAAACACAGCTTCTCAAAGACATCCAGATGGCCACTTGTATGTGATATGCATCTGAATACATCACATATACTGCACCCTGCCATTGCTCTAAGACTCTCATGCAGCGCCCCAAATATCTTTCTAGCAAACCTTTAACTTGTCATCCTTGTTGTGATGCAGGTACATCCTTTTCATCTAACAAAATATGCTCTCCTTCTGTCTTGCAGCTCAGATTTGCCACGGTGAGATGCATCTACACCTCTCTCCCACTCTTTTTTTCAACAAGTTTTCCTATGATACAGGCATATGCCTTTGTAAGTCATGGCTGCTCTCACCCTGAGGCCATGTGTATGTCCTTTGCCTGACATATATATACTTAAATCTGCATCTACTTACCTTGAAGCGTGCTTGACCTTTTGACTCACGCATAATGCATCTCTCCATCCTGCAATGTGAGTTCTGATACTCTGCCTCCAGGAGCTGGGAGGTAAATAGGTTTGCCACCTGCTCGCTGGTTGCATCTTCTCTCTGAAAGTGCATATGTTTTTTCTTCCTAAAAACATTTCCTGTTTTTCTCATCTGCCAAAAACTAGGTTGGAAAAGAGACTGTTTCTCAGTCCATCAGTCAGGGATTCCATTTTAGCTTGTCGTCCCTCCCCTGGTCCGTTCTCTTCCAGATGCAGAAACTTGATCAGATTTTTCTGTGCTGGGTGAAGACTTTAAGAGAATCTTTCAGAGATAGAATCAACAATTCCATTCCAACAAAGCATACCATGTTTTTGCTGGATTGTTTTCATGCAAAATTTGCTAAAAGATGGGTAACTTTGCTTGAAAACTCTATCTGGGAGACATTCCCACCTTGGAGTGCTAAAAGCAAATCACTAACATGAATAGCAAACAAGTCTTTCTCTCTAGCTTCCCAGGCACAATGTGATCTCCCTGACAGCTTCAGTAACACTGTTAAAAACAGACGAAATGAGGCAGGGGAGGTAGAGAGAGTCCGAGGAATCATCCTGTTCTTTTCCCTCTGTTTAAGATTTATATTTAAATTGTAACTTGGGTCTTGTACATGTTTATTTCATGGTTGGTTTTTTGTTTTTCTTCCCTCTTAATGGCTCTGGTGATTGAATTAGGGGTGTGACCTTTTTGTGGGCACAGTCCATGTGATGGCCTGATTTCAACAGAGCAGTGTTAGTGCTTATGAGTCTAAGGTCATAGTTGCAATGGTAGCCCACAAAGGTCTTCTCGATGGTATTGCTACTCCTGTTCCACATCTGATAGCCTCAGAGGGGAGGTTAGCTAAGGTAGGCAAGCCTAGTGCAGCTCAGCTTCAGAACACTTGAGGAGCTGGGTCCAGCCCTGAGTTCTTTCTCACTGGGTGGCTGCTCAGTTTTCTAGGCTGGGCTCCACCAAAGGCTTGCTATGTGCTACGTGCAGGCTGTTTACCTCTGTCTCATTCCTCATCTGTACTTTAGGGTCATACTGTGTAGAGAAGGTGAGGATGGGCACTTCGGAGCGGTGTTTTCCAGGTTTTTTCTTTAGCCGTAGTCAGGTGTAATTTCTTGCTCTCTATCAGGGTAAGATGCAGAACTGAGGAGCCAGTAAGGGCTTCCTTAAAGGCTGCATGTTGGGAATTATTGCTGCAAAAGCTGTAAAGGTCAGAGGTGGTGGAAACATTTGTTAAGTGTAGTAAGTAGACTTATTCCTGGGTACACACTGCTATTTACTGTGTATCTTTGAATTAGGCCAGCTTTACTGTAATGGTGATTCTCTTTACCTAAGGAAGTCTTTCCACTGTCGTGGAAGAAGGGACAGCTGTTTGACTGACTCCTCTAATGCAGCCAGGAGCACTTCTAGCTCTGTGTACATGGTCTGTGTGTCACTTAGGAGAAGTTATTGATAAGGAGACATGTTGGGCCCATTTTCTTGAATATGAGCCCATTCTTGTGGCCTTTTATTCCTTGCAAGAAGATGGAGAAAGGCAGTCACTGATCCTTAGGGAGATGCTGCTACTATTCATTGTGTTCCTTTTGTTTCAGCTATCTTGGTGATTGAGTTTGTGTATGCTATTGTGGGCATCATTTGGCTAACGCAGTACTACACTTCCTGCAATGATATCACCGCAAAGAGTGTCACTTTGGGTATGTATTTGGAATGTGTAGCACAGACATCTCTTGCCTTGGAGAGCTAATTCACTCATGCATGTGGGGATTGACTGTTGGTAGTGAATTGTAGCTGTAAATGCTCTGCTTGTTTCCCTCAAGAATCCAGTGCTCAGAACAGTTGTTCTATTCATTTGCTTGTGCTGCCTGCACTGAGGCAAGAATCCCTGTTCCCATGGAGGGGTCTGGCATGGGGAGTCTGAAAGCCCTGGTTCTCCTTCTGTTCAGAATGGCTTTCCTGTTTTTCTCAAATGGCTTTTGAGAACCCAACCATTCTCCTGGGGGGAGTGATGGGAATGCTGCAGCCCACTGGGTCTTCAGTGAGTCTTTAATGGTCTTCTGCACGAGCGGTCTCCCCGTGGCTGCATAGTCTAGCCGTGGTCAGACGCCTGTGCAGAAGATTTCTTTGTGCTGCAGCTGGCTGCAGGAATATTTGGGTTAGCTTCTTCTGTCTGCCCTGTGGCAACAGAGAGGCGTGTGTGTGATGCGCTCAGAGAAGAGCAGGAAGCAGCACTGCCAAGACCTGAGGGCAGAGCACGTGACTATTCCCTTTCTTTGCAGGAATGGTGGTGTGCAACTGGGTTGTCATCCTGAGTGTCTGCATCACCGTCCTGTGCGTCTTCGACCCGACAGGCCGGACCTTTGTCAAACTGCGGGCCACAAAGCGGAGGCAGCGCAACCTGCGGACCTACAACCTGCGGTAAAGCACTGCTGGAACGGCTCCCTGCTTCCTGCCCTCCTTGGCATTCTCCCTGCCTCGCTTCAGGGAGCGTTCACTTGCAGGTGTTGCTTCCCTTTGGGGAGGGTGATTTTGGAGGAAGGCGGCTCGGGCTGTCAGGTGCTGTGTGTGGGCATCTGTATTTAAAGGAGGCAAAGCAAGGCAGCGCCTGGCTGGATTGTGTGTTAGTCACTGGCTTTGTCAATCCTTCTTAGCCCCTGGAGCCACAGGGCTGATCACAGCAGCCTGTTTGTCCATCCTGTTAGCAGGGTTTGAATTTTGCTTAGGTTGAGCCACCTTTGTCCAAAGCCTTTTTCTTCTTTTGTGTTTATCTGCAAAATATGACCTTTGGGCCTGAAATTTCTTAAATTTGGTCTTGGCCAAGAAACAGACTCTTCTGGGTTGGCAGCTAGATGTTTTAATTAAGAATTGATTGCATCTTTGAGCTAACCAGATGGGGATGTGAAAGCTTTTTTCACCAAGCAAGGCATTTTCCAGCAGCTTTTTCCTGTAGTGGGACAGAACAAGCAGGCTTTGTTTTCTTATGCAGTTTTGACACATGTAACCATAAGTAAGGAATGTAACTCTGTAGGACAGAGGGCATTAGATTTTGAATGCTAAAAAATGAGGCTTTTAAAAAATATAGAATCACAGAATGGCCTGGGTTGAAAACAACCACAATGCTCATCCAGTTTCAACCCCCTGCTATGTGCAGGGTCACCAACCACCAGACCAGGCTGCCCAGAGCCACATCCAGCCTGGCCTTGAATGCCTCCTGGGATGGGGCATCCACAGCCTCTTTGGGCAACCTGTTCCAGTGCTTCACCACCCTCTGTGTGAAAATATCCTGCAAATTTTGCATTTCTCATTGGAAACGTATACGTGAGGGGTGTTCTGAATATGTGCTATTTCCGTGTCTTGAAGAGGAATCCTTCAGAACCCCTTTTTCTGGAGGGAGGAAAAGTGTCCAGATGCCTGCTTTTTATTGCAGAATACAAGAAGCTTTTCTTTCCTTTTCTAGTATGTTGCTAACCCTACCCTTTAATATTGAGAATTAGTGCCCTGTGAGCCTGATGGCTGCAATTGCTGCATTACAATGAAGACATTCCCAAGCAGATGTGGATGAAAAGCTGGAAGAAGGCTTTGGTACCCCACAATAAATCAAAGCTGTTTGGCTTAATTCGCATTTTTTCTTTTTGATGGAAGTCTGAGCCACAGGTTGTGAAGTTCTTTTTGCTAGGAAGTTTAAAGTGAGACACAACAGAACGTCAAAAATGATCTCCCCTGGAAGTTTTGAGACCCCAGACAATTGAGTGAAGGTATTTGCCCTTGGGCCATGGCTAGGCTTTTTCTTCCAGGCCTGTAACATTTTCAGAGAGCTTTTTCCTGCTGCTTCCAGATTTCTGCTGTAGGAAGGGAGTGTTAACAGATGTTAACTAGCAAAATGCTGTGGGCTGTAACGTGGAAGAGAAACATGAAATAATCCTACGTGGTTGCTACTAAACCTATTGCTTCCAAACAGTATAGTTTGAAATTAGCCACTTGCTTGAAGCAGTCCTTTCCAGGGAGTTCTGAAATTCTCTGCCTGCTTCTGGATTATGATTCTGCAAGATGCTGAGAGCCTGTTGTTCCTCTTGCATCCCTTGGTCAGCAGTGATAAAAGCCTGCTGAGCTATAGCATTAATTTGGCATTTGTATCCCCTTAATCTGAGCTGTATTTCCTGTCTCAAATCATGAAAGAACTCGATTTGGTTGTCACACTTAGGGGATGTGAACCTTCAGCTTCCTTTTTGTGGTTCTCTGCTGTAGCTATTGGACTGTGGTTTTCTTTTATCTGTGGCTTCTTGATGTGTGTGGGCTTTTATGTTCTTGCAGTATGAACAAAATAAATCAAACTGAAACAAATGGCTCAATTAATTGCGCTGAGACTTTTCTAAAAAAACTTGTTGTAGGACTCATCCAAAACATGTGGAAGTTCAGTGTTTGGAAGAAGGAATTTGGGAGAAGTCAGAGAGAAAATAGCTCAGAGCACGCTTGCTTGTCCAGCCCCCGCAGTGAAGTTGTGAAGTTCTTTGCATTGCTGCACGAGCTTTCTGGCATTTGGTGGAGCAAACAGAGCATTGCCAGCTCCATCTTAGGTCCCTCATATTCCTCTTTCACTTTTGGAATCTTCCTTGGAGGTTGTGGGTATTTGTTTTAAAATGCTCAGCCATGAAGCCGTGCAAAATCTCCTCTTTCTGTTGTAGGCAAAGCTGTACCAGCAGCTTTTTCTTCCAGGTGCAACCAACTCTCTGTGCTTGGGCTCTTCATGGCAGAAAAACAGAAGCTGTCTTTTTTTTTATTGAACTGACCTATGTTACGTTGCTTTGCATTCATGTGACGGTGACCCTGCATTGCAAGAACTGTGGACCTTATCCTTATGCAGGCAGCATGGCTTTCTGAGGGGGGGGGGAAGTCAACTAATTCCTTAACACTGAGCCTGTCTTGATCTCAGGTTTGTTCTGCAGGAATGCTAGTTAAGCTTAATGGACTGTCGCTCTGAAAGTGTAGTAACTAGGGCAAGTTCACAACAGTGGAATGAACTCAGCAATAGCTTATTTTAAATAGGGTTGTCCAATTAGCTAAATTTGAAGCTGAAATTGAAATGTCATATAAACCAAATGTGGGTTGAGTGAAACCTTCTGTATTCAGGCTTTTTTTAACCTTTTCTAAATTGAAGGAGAACCTTTAGCTTTCTTCCCCACTTTTGGTTTCAAGTTATGCACCATAGTCAAAGAATGGAAATTTTTTCAGTTCTGTAACTGGTACATATCATAAAAATATTTTTCCAAGTAAGCTATTTATTGGAAAAAATTGCACAGCTCTTAGTGCTAGTGCTCAGTCTTTGTTTTTTTGTAAACCTTGCTTTCTTTTCTGCAGACACCGCCTGGAGGAAGGGCAGGCCAGCAGCTGGACACGCCGCCTCAAGGTTTTTCTTTGCTGCACACGGACAAAGGACTCTCAGTCGGTAGGTACCAAGAAGCTGCTGGCAGGGAGCAAGCTCTGTGTGTGGCCAGTGATACGTAGGACTCAGCAGAGCGGAGCAATGTGGGATTCCTGCTATCAAACCTGGCCGTGCCTCATTGCTCTTATGAGCGTTCTGAGATGCGGAGCCTCAAGGAGTCCAGTGAGCCTTGACAGCAGTGCTTGCAAGGCTGACATTGTCCTCCAGGAAGCAGCAAGCCGAGCCACCCCTCAGGATGAACAGACTTCACGTTTTGCTCTATGCTGGTTCCTTTTCCTTCCTCTCAGCGTGAGTAGGGCAAATTAAAGCCTGTATTTCTGCAGGAGCTTACCTAGGTATCCTATGCAGAAATAGAATTATAGAATCATAGAATGGCCTGGGTTGCAAAGGACCACAGCGATCATCTAGTTTCAACCCCCTGCTGTGTGCAGGGTCACCATACCAGCAGAGCAGGCTGCCCAGAGCCACATCCAGCCTGGCCTTGAGTGCCTGCAGGGATGGGGCATCCACAGCCCCATCCCTTGGGCAACCTGTTCCAGTGCATCACCAGCCTCTGAAGAAGCTGATATTCTCTTTAGATGCAGATGTAACATCGCTGGGGAGGACAGTTGACTTTCAAAACAGCCATTCTTAACCTTCTGGTTTTAAATATTATGGATTTCTCTCTGAGACAGATAACAGCTCTAAAGAGTGGTATTGTCAGTTTCAAGCTTGCCTCCAGAAGCTGCTCTTTACTTTGCTATTACAGCAAGCTGACTAATTTTAAGTGACGATACTAGTGGAAAAAATATATTTTTCATCAATTTAGGTTCACCATTTAACAGCAATTTGTGTGATCAGTTTCAGTTTTCCTTTACTTAGTCAGTTTATCCTATTAGTTTGAGTCAGTCTTATGCCTGAGAAGGAGAGACACTTTGAAAATGGAAAAATATAAACCTGCCAGAATCAGCAACAAGAATACTCCTGGGTACTGACAGGCTTTATTCGAGATGCTAGCAGAGCCTGCTGTTGAGTCTGTGGATTCAGATGAAGATTGAAGTTTTCACGTGCTACAGTTGGGATTGTTCCTTTGCAGAAACAGTGCAGGGTAAGGAGTTGATTTCACTTCCCAAAAGACAGCAGCCCATTCATTCCTACTGAAAGTGGTGGGAGCAGGATTTCATGTTCTAGTGATATTCAGCAGGAGTCTTAATAACCTGGTAGAGGTGAACACTGAGGTGGAGGATTGTGCTGACAGCATTAATATTAAAGTTGCTCAGAATTATGAGTAATTGAGAGCTCCTTAAGGACCAAACAGAACCGGGGAGCTGTTATCAATGAGAGACGAAAGTCGTAATAGCAAAGGATGAAGCAGTGCATGCACATCTGAAGAAACAAATTACTTGCATACACTGATAGGCTGTGAATTAGTTACAACCTCTCAGGAAAAGAGCGAGGAGTTATCAAGGACACCTCAACAAAGACATCAGTGCACAGCAGTGGCCAAAAAAACCTTCAGAAAAACATGGAAGGACGTAGAAAGTGACAGAAAACATCAAGGGACTGACTGCATCAGTGATCTCCTCACTAAATATAGTTTGGTCTGCTGAAAGGTGCAGGAGAAAAAGGAGCATATTGGAGGGGCTATGAACTTGTATAGGAAGAGAAATGAGTCTGGGATTTTAACCTCAGAAGGAAGAAGTGCAGTGAGATGAAAGCTGTGTAAAAATAATGGAGAGACAGGTGAAGGCTACCCGAACATGTGTTCATCACATATGGCAACCAGTATGACTTAAACACGAAGGCTTGTGGGTGAGCACGTTGTTATCCTCGGGGTGCAGTTGTTGTCGTAGCCCTCCTACAGAAATCCAGCCATGCGTTGTGGCACTGCATGCTGGATGAAGTGCAGCCCCAAGCCGCTGGCCTGCTCTGGAGGCACAGCCCAGCCCTGCCAACTTTCACAGATCGTCTTCTAGAGCTGGTTAGGAAAATCCATCTGGAAAATGGCAACGAGATGAGCTGTGTGCTGTGGCAGCTCAAACAGCAGCATTTCCTTGAGGCTGCATTCTGCCCATCAGCAGAAATACCTTGGGGTGCACTGCCTTTGTTTGCACCCGGCTGCCCCGTCACATCACTCTGCCATATCCCAGAGCTCTGAGAGGCATTGAGTGCCTTGGTTCCCAAAAGCAGTATTCAGGAATGCTGTTGAGGAACAGCAGTATTCAGGAATGCAAAATACTTCACATTGTGTGAACTTTTTTTTTTTTTTTTCCAAGCAGTGAAATGAAAAATTCTGTAGTGCCTGTTGGATTCTACTTCTATTTCTAGTTCAGGATAAAAGCAGATACCAGAGTCTTCAAATTCCTTGTGCTGTTGAATTTCCACTTTAAATTCAGCTTGAGTGATTTCCAGGCTCTTTTCTTTGAAGGAACAAGCTCTGACTTTGTGTGTCCTGGCATGACAGTGTGTGGAATGAATGCGTATGTAATGGATCAGAAATGAATCCATTGCTGCCTCTCCCAGGCTTCGTGGGGAAAAAAAATGTTCTAGCAGGGGATGATTGTCCTCTGAGCTGGAAAATAGAATTCTGCAGAGTGAATGTGGCACCAGAGCAAGAATCTGTTCCTGTGGGTCTGGAGCAATGTCTGCAGCTCTAAGGTTGCCGGCTGTGCCAGCCCCAGAGCCTCCAGGGCTTGTCACAGAGACCGACTGCAGTCAATCTTCAACATCCCATCAAGCCCACCAGCAGCAACTCTTCTTTCAGAACAAAGCATACACTGAACTTTTGTTCTGTGCTTTTACTGTGAACAGAGTATTAGGAGGTGGTAGTGTTACTTTGGGTTAGCGTTGTTTGCCTTTTAATTTGAGGCCGTTTGCATTTCTTGCGTACTTGTAGGAAGGATTTATTGGGTCAGCATTTTGTGGACAGTGTGATTGTAAAGTTGGAAAGGCTGATGGGAATCCGTTTGCTCTTCAGGTGCACATCTGGCATGGAAACCTGTGCAGTGGGCACCCGAAACCCCGTTCTTGAGCATGATGTAACTTACTTTAGGCAAGTGAAAAATGGTAAAAGGTAATCGTGCACTCCAGGAGTTTGCAGAGAACAGAAGAATGTAGGTCATTTCCTGCAAGCCTGCTGGGGGAGAAGGAGTTTGCTTTCTGATCTGTCAAAGAGATGGAGAGATTCTGCCCCGAAGACCAGCCCAAGTGAACAGCCCAGGCTTTCTACAGATGGGACTGTAGCTGCGTGGCATTAGTGTTGAATAAAGGTTATGAAAATATTGCTGAGAATTCAGGCTTAGTCTGATAGATCTTGGTAGGAAAAGTTAACAATGGCAGCACTTGAAATATTGATCACCTGTGTGCTATAGCTTTTGCTCAATCCCACTCTTTGTTGGTTCAGCCTCCGGGTCACCCCAGTCTTTGAGCTCTCTGTTCTGAGCAGTGACCCAACATGTTGTCTCACAGTCCAGCCACTTCCAGCCTTCCAAAGCGTTCTCACTTCAGGCCCTATGTGTTTTGGTTTTTTTTGTTGGCTTTTTTTTTTGTGTGGTATGGAGCCAAAAGGGAAATAACGTTTCTCCTCAAAGTCTGTGTCACTCTGCTTTAAAGCTTTAGATGATTTTCTAAGGTCGTTTCCAATTCTGTCCCTTCTTCTGCAATGTCTTCGTTTAGGGGATTGGTCACTTTCCCTGCTGGGAACTCTCTGTTCAGTAACTTGGAATTGATGAACTTAGTGGTCTTTTCCAACCTTAATGATTCTATGGTTCGATGACTCGGATCTGTTTTCACAGGTTGTTCTTTTCAGGCCCTTTTTTTTGGGTGTGCTCCAAGACAGACTTGGAAAAGCTTGCTAACTTGCTCAGCTCTTTCAGGACCTGGAGCTCTGATGCGTAACACGTGCTTGTTGTACTTTAACTCTTTGAAATCATGTAGTAAACAGCACAGTTATGAGCAGTGAGTGGTACAGAGGCTTTCGCTTTCTCCGTAATGTGCCCAGGATGGTGAGGTCTGACTTAAGTATGGAAATAACTCCAGGGGAAATAACTCCAGGACAGAGTTACAGAACTGAAGAGGCTATTAAATAAGATATATTTGGTGCATTTTTCCTGAATAGCCTTTGTTCAAATGAAATTGCTTTTGAGGAGAAAGGCTGACTGTAGGGTGACACTGGATGGGGATCTTTTTGGTTCTCGGCTTACTTCCTCTGTCTTACTTACACTGAAAACATTGTCCTTCCCTGCCTTTGTATATGCATTCCATGTCCTGATGCTTAGGTGGTCAGCTTATCTGCACAGCAGACTGCATAGTGCAAATGCAGTCTCAGCTGAGACTACGCGTGTGACATTCATAGAGTCACAGAATGGCCTGGGTTGAAAAGGACCACAACGATCATCTAGTTTCAACCCCCCTGCTGTGTGCAGGGTCGCCAACCACCAGAGCAGGCTGCCCACTTTGTATAGTCAGAGGTATTAATAATGATTAGACCAGATGTGGTGTACCCAGAAGGAATCCTGTGGATGTTTGGGGCTACAGAATTGGGGCCATTGCTGCCGCACCGGCTCTTGTTCTGTGTCCTGTTCTGAGGCTCCCCACACTCAAACTTCTCTTCCTAAAGCTTTTCTCTGTGGGTTTTGCAGGATGCCTACTCTGAAATCGCCTACCTTTTCGCTGAGTTCTTCCGAGACCTTGACATCGTCCCATCTGACATCATTGCAGGCCTGGTTCTTCTGCGCCAACGGCAGCGGGCAAAGCGCAACGCCGTGCTGGATGAGGTGGGTGGAAACTTGCTGCCTTTTCTAGTTAGGTGATGCATACAGATTTAAATCTTGACCCTAGACAGGCAATTGGAGACAGTTTCTTTAAAGTTAATAGGAAGAGTGGAGAGAAGACTCCAGCATCTGGGCAGAACTTCAGAGGCAACCTGAGGGGAAAAAAAAGCCCTGAATTCCCAAACTATTCTGCCATTGGGGTTTGCGGATTCCTAAGTGAACAGAGAAGTTGTACTTATTTTCTCCAGAGGTGGGGTTCAGACAGTGTTGGATCAGGTGGAAATCAGAACAGCAGAATTGGAACCAATTCAGGGATTGCTCAAGATGTTTGCAAGCTGTCCTGCCCCAGGTTACCCAGTTCTTTGTTTCTTATGCATGGATTTTTTGTCCTGGTGTCACAGAGAATATTTTCTTGTTTGTGACTTACAGGCAAACAATGACATTTTAGCTTTTCTGTCTGGGATGCCAGTGACCAGGAACACAAAGTATCTGGATCTGAAAAATGCGGTAAGTCACTGGACTGTGATCTTGCAAACTCACATGCTTCTTTATGTAGCTTTCTTTTTTCTAAATGATTTCTTTTCTGCTTTTCTGGAATAATCAAAGAGATTAAGAATGGTACAATCAAATAACAATACTTGTTCTTCAGGAGGCTTTGTTGTCTTTGGATCACTTTTAAAGCATTATCTGTCTGTCCTCCACTTTGTGGGAAGTAGTATTTCCACTCTGATGCTGAAAGACAATGTGAGATTTCTTACAAGTCAGAGGTACGAGTTGAGTGCTGCAGCCAGGAATGTTGTGCACAGTTCTATGTAATGGTACCACCAGCTGGGCTTCATCTTGGTGAGGGCAGGGAGCTGCCTCGAGTGAGATGGAGCCTTTTTCCTTGGGCTGCTTCTGTCAGCAGTTCTCAGGATGGAGACAGCTGCAGTCTGTTCTATGTAAATTAAGCTTGGCTTTTCTTTTGGAATGGTGCTGTTGCAGCCCTTCACTGGGCAAGCTATATTCACCCCTCTTGATCAGATGATATTCTTGCAAGAGAGGAAAGACCGACCCAATCCCAGCACCTCTGATTAAGCAATTCTGTGATCAGCCTGCTTGCAGCTGTGCTGTGCTGCTCTGCACCTAATGCTAACTTCCTGCTTGTGTTCAGGCTATCTCTTTCTGCATAGGTATGTGGGGAGAGAGGTCTGCACAGCATATAGAAGACAGCCCTGGGGCATTTGGCCCCAGCCTGGCTTTTATGGTCCTCTCTGTGCATCTTCCTTATGGCTTGTGCCCATTTGGAAGCAGCATCTTTACAGAGCTCATCTTCTTGTACTTGGTACTAGTTTCTCCCTCCCCAGTTAGGGTTGGGTGGGGCAAAATACACAGAGGTTGGCCTTTCTTTGCAGCAGAGTGTTTGTTACATAGGGAAGAATGGCTGTAGAACTAACTTCAAGCTCTGTTAAGCATCTAGTAAGTCCTCTCTAATCACATAAATGTGCAGTCATACTGGGTGGGGAGGGAAGGAGAGGATCTTACTGAGCATAATCAGAGTGCTCTCCTGCAGTCACCTGGAAATGCTGACAGTGTTTGCTGTCCCAGTGCTGGTAGAGAGAATGCTGATGTTCAGGGAGAAGGGTGCAGTCTCTAACTACAGTAGAAAAAGGGGAACAGAAGGAAATTGACATATGAAGAGAATAAGGCCTTTAGTGAGTCTCTTGTTTCTTTCAGCAAGAGATGCAGCGATACAAAGAGGTGTGTTACTACATGCTGTTTGCCCTGGCTGCCTATGGCTGGCCCATATACCTGATGAGGAAGCCCACATGTGGACTCTGTCACCTGGCCAGATCCTGCTCGTGAGTGGCCGTCCTGCCTATCGCTCTGCCTTCTCTCCTTCCCTCTTCCTTTCTATTTTTCCCTGATTTAAAATCCTTTCTTCAGTCTGCTTTCTCTGTCACTTTTCAGTTACTTCTTATTTTTTTCCTCTTCTGCTTTTTTCTCTTCTCCTACACTTTCCATCTCTCGGTAACTTCATTCTCACATTCTTCTCTTCATTCTTTCTTACAGTTACTTATCTGCTTACCCTGTTAAATAAACCACTGTCATATTCTGTCCTCTCTGGTGCACTAAGGATCATGCCAGTCCTTTGTTTGGTTTGGATAACCAGTGGAGAGAACTCATCTGGCACAAGAGTGCTTTCACACCGAGTCAAAATAGCTGTCTCAGAATGCAGAAAGCAGATTTATCAGCAAGCCCAGTTAGGCAGAGAATTGACATTTGGGTCTTTATTAAAGCCTCAATGAGACTTGGCCAGAGTTTGTGCTGTGTTCTCTCTGACTAATTGTTTTTTGATTGCCATGCTGTATACTGCTCACTTCAAGGCAGCAATGCTGTAGTTCACTTCAGGCTTGCATGTTAAATGTTAGCTTTTTAGCTTCTATAATGCTGTCATTGGATTATCTTCAGAGTTGAGCTTTTTGCCCTTAAAGAAGTAAATTTCTTCTTCAAACCTGCTAGGAGGAATGTCCTTCTGAGTCACTTTGAAGTGTATCATAAGGAAAAGAAAGGAAGAAAGAGATTGTGCTTGCATTGTAGTTCTGGGATGATTCTAGACCTGCTTTGCTACTTGCTATAAGTAGATCTAATAAATGCTGGTTGCTTGCGTGTTGAAGCGGTGTAGGATTGTGCATCTCCTGAGGAGAGATCCCTTGGAGACTGGCTGCACTGTAGCTCTCTCTGGTGCTCAGAAGGAAAACTACATCTGATCCTCGTGCCGCTTTTGATGTGGAAATAGGAGTTGTGTGCTGTTCTGTGCAAGAGCTGCAGCAAATGAGGGAGATGACTGCTGTCAGGATGACACGAGTGTGGCTTGCAGGTTTTCTCTTCCTTTCCCTTACCTCGCTCCAGGCGTCCCACTTTAAAATCTGTCTTTTCCACGTTCCTCTTCTTTCCTCAAGGCTGTAATTTTTCTCTTCTGCAGGTGTTGCTGTCTCTGTCCCTCACGTCCCCGCTATGCACCCAGTGTCACCATTGAAGAGGATAATTGCTGTGGCTGCAATGCCATTGCCATCCGGCGCCACTTCTTGGATGAGAACATGACCTCGGTGGACATTGTTTACACTTCTTGCCACGATGCGGTACGCAAAGTCTGCAGCCCCTTCCTGTGTGCGGCGTGCTCCCAAGGCCCCTCCCAGTGGGACTTGCATGCTTCCAGCTCTAGTGGTACAACACAGGAAAACGTGATGTTTTTTCTGACCCTAGACTTTATCTCTCTGCCAAGAATTTCTGTCCCTTGGACAGAAATATTTGGCCCCCCTCAGAAGCAAATGTTAAGCTGCTGTGCTTTTCCCGAGCAGGAGAATATGTGAAGGAGGATGTCTCATCAGAGTGTTACAGCAGTGCATCTCTTCTAGGTTTATGAAACTCCTTTTTACGTGGCTGTGGACCATGAGAAGAAGAAGGTGGTCATTAGTATCCGAGGAACTCTGTCTCCAAAAGTAAGTGCATTGTGCAGTGGCCTCACACACCCTTGGCCACCCTAGCAAACTTTTAGGATAGCCTGAGATTTTCCTGGCTGGCTGTTGGTGTTTGATTTATCTGAAGCACAGCGACTCCTTTCTTCAGGATGCCCTGACTGACTTGACTGGGGACGCAGAGCGCCTTCCAGTTGAGGGTCACCATGGAACCTGGCTGGGACATAAGGTATGTAAAAAAACATGTACTGTTTTGAGGTTTTGACTTTTAGTTGTAGGCAAAACAGGAACAAAAACCAGCCTAAACTGCTTGAGTTGTGAAGTGCGTTTTACAACGGCAGTGAAACAACTATGAGATGTAGAAACAAATAAGCCCTGAAATCGTAACAGTTAAAATCATTCTGTTAAAAAAAAGAAAAAAAAAGAAAATTACAGCATGCAAGTAGTAAAAAGCGAGCTGCAAAAAGGGATCTGTGGGGACCTAGAACAAAATTGTCAGTGTCATTGAAATTACTTTCTCTTCCAACGAATGACCTTTTGAGAATTTGCAATCAAACCCTGACAGTGTCTTTACAATTCTGTTGCAATGGGATATTCATTGCACCTTGTAAGCAGACATTGGCAGGGCTTGCATCTGTGTAATTAGACTGATGCCACGTGTCTGTGTTAGTGAGCAGGACTGGGCTGACTAAACCAATTCAGCATAGAGCTTACCTTTGCCCCAGTCCAGCAAAGTAATGGCACGCATGCTGAGTTTTAAGATCAGCAGGAGTTTGGCAGCCTCTCAAGGTGTAATGCCAGACTGGGAAAGGCAAATCCAAACTGGTGATTGCGTTTGGTCAAAAGGATTGTGGTAGCTGCTGGGAAATGCTGCTGCTCAGGGAATGCTGTGGGTGATTTGGTCAGGGTCCCTTTGGGGCAGGACATCGAGCTCGTAACTCCTGAGGGCTCCTGCTTTGTTCACAGTGTCCTTCCAGATGGCCTGCGTGATGCTCTTTGGCGCTGTGCTTTATCAAGCGAAGCATTAGAGGCTGATAGCTGCGTCCTCAGATGCTCAGCTGGGTATGGGCCTGAAAAAGGAGCAGTTACCTGAAAGTGCTGTTGGGACAGCAAGGATTTTATTTCAGACTCTCAGGATGGGGCTTTTTGAAAACAGTACTTTGTACTTCTTCTTTCGCAAATGAGTATTTCTTTCATTTCCCCCAAATGGGAAAGTGAATCAGTGTCGTGGTTACACAAGGCGTTGTATAGAAACAGGGATAAATGAGGAAGTGATGTGTCACTTAGTTAATATCGAGGTATCTGAGTCTTTACTTCTCATCTAACGTTTCTGAAGTGTTTTGTCTGCTGTCAAAGGTAATGTCACTTAGTTTTGTGCTCCTTCATCTGATTCAGAATGCCTTTGCAGAACCGCTGTGATAAGCAGTTTGTATAAACCAAAGGGAAGCAAGGGGCATTTGTTCTATTTCGAATCTGCAGAAAAGCTACTAATAGATACCTGTAGGAGTTGGATTCTTCTCTTGATCCTGTGGAAATGTTAATGTGCCAGTAACTTATATGAAACATCAGATCATTCCCTGTATTTTGCACTGGATTTTTATTTGCCTTTTGCATTATGTCTTTTTCTGTTGTTACAAGTGAAGAAATACTGCTTTATCTGAAATTATTATAAATATTAATCTTTAGACAATAATGCACTGTTGATTCCTGAGGGAAGCCAAGAGAAATAATAGAATTTTGAGATGCAGGTCCTGATGCATTTTTAATGTCCACAAGTCAACTTTAATACAAAAGCAGATGAAGTACCTTGCTAACACATTTAATTTGTAGAAAAGCACTGGGCTGTTTGGGAGCTTCCTGTTAGTTGCTTGGCTTCTGTTCTTTTCCTTGCTGATGCTACCCAGCAGGCTGGGATGCCCTGTTATCTCCACCACAAGCCATGCTGCTTCATGTGGTGCCTATCAGACATCTGAGAAATGAAAACTCTTGATGTTTGTGTGAGCCTTCCTGTTGCTCCACTGGGACCACAGCTGGAAGTGTTTGATTGTTTGGGTTGCTGTACATGCCACAGCTGAAGTTTGAGAGGTTTCTGAGCTATTTTGGGCCAGCTGTGGGTAAGGTTTGTGGGTTGGTGTGTTTAAAAAAAAAAAAGGAAAATAGGAGATTGTCGCAGCTTGGAGTGGAAATTAACCACAGCAAAATCTTCACTGCTTGAGGTAAAATACAATGATTTTATAATGGACTTCATTTAAAAATAATTGTAAGTAAGGGGCATGAATCCATGCTGAATTCTGTTAGCCTGCAGAGGACAAAACTCCACAGGTGATGATTTTATGGAGGTTTGGTCGCTGGTGTTCAGCCAGCCAAAATGACAGTGAATGGCTGTGCGGGAGGAAGCCCTGAACGCTCAGCTGTGCCAGCAATCCTCACCTGTATGTCAAAGCAGTCAGCAACAGCAGAACTTTCTTTTCTACCACAGGGATACCCTCTTTTGTGGGTTTTCCCATCTTGTGGAGCAGTTTCTTGCCTTCAGGCTGCAAAGCAATACAGAATATTTCTGCCTTTCTTCTCCTAGATGTTTGGTCCATTTGGATATTTATACATGGGGTTTGAAAGTTAAGCCCAGGTAATTTTTTTTCTTACGAAACTCATGAATCCTAAATATGACTCTGTGGGGATAAGCCTTGTTCCATAATATTGACATCACTGTCTGTATTAGAACATCCAGTAATCATTGAAAATACAGCTCTAAGACTGACAGTTGGACCATTAGTAAAATCACTATGGAGGTAGATATGCTTTTTAAAAACAGGATCCTAAGTTCTTGTTAGAAATTTATATAAGTCGCCTGCCATTCACTCCTCATTAGAATCAGAAATGGAGACCCTTTTGAATGCAGCTGAAGCTGGCTAGCTGCTGGGAGCTGAACACAGGCCTGAAATACCATGGCATCTGCTTGTTTGATAATGACAGGGACTTTTTAAGTTCAGCAGAATTACCTGTGTTCCTTTTCTTCACTGGGCAGATTGGTGTTTGATATCAAAGGCTTTGAAAATTCCCCATTTCTTTGCTTTCTGAAGGAGACCGTGCGTTCTTTTCTGCCTTTGTGATTAAACAGCACTCAATAAAATTCACTTTGTACTTAAACTGTTTGCAGGTAGGGGTGTGATGGAAAATAGCAGAGGAGATGGTCTTCTCTGGTTTTTGGCCAGCCCAGGCAGTGCGCATTATGCGAGGGCTGCAATCACCAAATGATAATTAGCAGTATCTCTGTGTTTGTGTTTGCCCTGAGCTACATCACCATTTTTTGCCTTGGCAGTTCAGGCTTGTTCACCTCTGAATATTAACTGTAATAAAAGCATAACCAAGAATTTATGCAACAGACCAAACTGCATCTCTCTTGCACAGAGTGAGACAAACCCTGAGTGGAGCAATCAGCTGGGAGAGTGGATAGATGGTTAGAACCAGGCCATCCATTTGTTTCCCATCTCCCAGCATTCCTTAGTTTCTAGGGAATAAAAACCTTTAAAAAATAAAATTCCATTAACGTCCTCGGTCAGCTGAATTCACTTAATAGTTGCTGACACCTCCAGTCATCAGCAGCTTTCCCACACAGATAGAACTGCCACTTTTTCCCTGCCTGGGTGTTTGTGCTGTCTCCCTGAACCTTTTTGGCTAGCTTTCCTTTGCAGATTTAAATGCAAGAGTGCAGCTCTGGGATTAAGTTCACTTCTGCTGCTCCACTGCAGGTCTCAGTGTGGGCTGACCTACAAGACACACAGCCTTGCAGTTCAGTTAGTGGTGTGGTTTGTGTCTTTGTCAGGCTTTAGCCCAAGAATCGGATCGATGTGTGCTGTCAGAACTTAAGAGCTGTTATTGCTCCTGAACACTTTGTGGCTCTGGTGAGCCAAAACACGTGCCTCATGAAGCAGAGGCAGTGTTCTTCCTCAGTGCTGACACATGCTGTGCAGTACTCAGCTTGTCCAGCACCGAGGGCAGTTTGCTGCCTTCTCCCCCAGTGCTGATATGCAGCTGTTCATACTCTGTTCTCTTTTTGTTTGCGCTCAGGGAATGGTGCTATCTGCTGAGTACATCAAGAAGAAACTGGAGCAAGAGATGGTGCTTTCTCAAGCCTTCGGACGAGACTTGGTGAGCATTAGCTTTATTTTATCACCACGGACCGTACAGAAGATGAGATTTCCTTCTATTGTACTAATTTCTCAAATCTCAATTCCTATCTCTCTGGCTTTCCAGACAGGCCTAATGTTACTTACTCCTTTTTCTTCTGGGGCCTTCTTCCCAAGAGCTCCTGATATTTTTTTCTCAGACAGGAAGTCCCACTTGGTGGCCATGCAGGACAGGGAACATTAAAAACAAATCAAGAGGAACTAAAATCCCATCTTGATGGAGATCTTCTATGGAGACAGCAGTGGGATGTCACGCTGCCTGTCTGTGTGCACACATTTCCTTTAGCTCTCCATCAGAAGAGGACTCAAGAGAGGTGTTAAGATGCTTACCTTAGCTTGCATGTCAGTAATAGACTGTCAACCTCCTAGCAGAGGACGTTTTCTGCACTGCCTGATTCCCTGCTGCCAGACAGTTGTCCTTTTCTCATGCCCATAGAGTGCCTTGGCCTGAGCAGGCCCATGGGAAATTAGTGGTGGTGAAAAAGAGAAGAGTGAAAGGCTTGATGTTCCATGGAACTGGTGCCGTACCAGTTAGCGCTGCAGTGGCTGCCTTGTGGTGTTGGTAGGTGTACATAGGAGGTACAGAGGCACTGATCTTCTTTATATGGTGCTTTATTCCTCTCTGCCTAGAAAAGGAAGGTTGGATTTGTTCAGTGAGCTGTTACTTACAGGGGTGTTTTCTTCTGTCCTTGCTGTCTGATGGGTAAGGGTGTGCTGGCTGAGTACTTAGGCTGGCTTCTGTGTGTGATGCTAGGTATCCTGTTTGGTTTTGTTCAGAGCTGCCTTGGATATATGGTGGGTCTGATTTCTATGTAATGTAATGTAGTGTAACTAGCTAGGCCTAACTCACACAGGAGGCGAGAGAACTTGAGTAATGAGATGGAACTATGGCCTTGTGGTTAGGAAATGAAGCGCTGGCTGAAGCTGAACTTTCAGATATATATGGAAAAGTGAGAGAGCATAAACGCCATTCTAGGTCCTACCAAGAGTTCGTCTAGCCGAGCACGTTTTTCTGTCAACTGCCAGCAGCAGATTTCAGGGAAAAAAATGCAACAAGTGGGATTCACCTCACTGGCTAGCATACATGGTGTTGACTTAGGGGTGCTGTTCGTAAGTAAAATGACACAAAGATAGATCTTTCATTCCTGTGGCTTTTTCTGTGTTCTCTTTTTTCTCATCTTATGTGGAAGCCTGAGCACAGCTGCAGCTGGTTACCCAAGACCTTAGAGAGTAGGAGCTGCATTCTCTGACCCTGTGTAAGCCCTGCAGAGTACTGGGAAAGCTCTGTGATACTGCATTGAAACAAGATTGAAATTTCTGAAAATTAACTTACTAAGTCTGAGGCATGCCTTGCACTGTGACCTCTGAATAACAAACACTACAAAATGTTAGAGAGTAGTTTTGTCTATGAATTACTCAATCGATTGCCAGCTGCTGGGAACATCTAGATTTCAGAAGACTGTTGTTCAAACTGCAGGTTAGGATTTCCGTTTTTCAGCATTCACTAGCAATGAAATAAATGAGAAAAACCCTTCAGTGCCAGAATCAGAGACCTCTGATTTGTGAGCCTGGAGCTGAATATCATCAGAAGGCTCATCAGATCTCATGTAACTCAAGCATATGTTTCATTTTTCTTTCAGGAAAGATCCAATAGGTCAAGGACTGACTTGTGGAAGTGTAAGAGAAAATGCCAGAAGTGAATTAATTCCAGTGTACCTTTGGAAGAGGCAATAGTAGAGGGCAGAAAACTGCTCCCATTTCAAGATCTAGCATAACATCACTAACTCCCATTGCAGGAGCAGTTGGTTAGTTGGAGTGCGGGAGTGCTCAAGTATAGGAACAACCTGCAGCTGGGAAAAGGGACGGATTTGGGGGTTTGTGAAGTTTCTTTCCAGTCTGACTTCAATTTCTTGTTTTGTTTTTGTTCTCGTTTTCAGGGGAGAGGAACAAAACACTATGGCCTGATTGTGGTTGGCCATTCCCTAGGGGCTGGCACAGCTGCCATCCTGTCCTTCCTCTTGCGTCCGCAGTACCCATCACTGAAGTGCTTTGCTTATTCTCCCCCTGGTGGGCTGCTGAGGTAGGTGTTGGGTCAGGAGGTCTGGTGGCAGAGAGGGGGTGTGTAGCTGAAGTGGCATCAGATTCTGGTTGTGATGTTCTGACGACCAGTAAAAGATAGTCTGTGCCCTGAGAAGCAGGCAAGAAAAAGTGTAGTAACAGTTGATGAGAGCTGAGGCTTGTGGGCAGCTTTTTTCTGTATTAGAATTTGAAGTTTAGGTTCCAGTGGCAGGTGGCCACTCCCAAGTATTCAGGTTTATGACTTTGTTGTGTGCTTCTGTAGCTCTGATTTAACTCTGCTTAGTGGGAAACACAAGTTGGGTGGACAGGGTGAAATTTCATCCCTTATTGTCTGTGCAGTGCCGGTGTGTTCTCTCCCCATCTTCTGCCAATAGGTGTCCAGAATGGGAGATGTTTGACCAGATGCAGGTGTCTGTATCAGATCTAGTTGTCAGGATTCCTTTTGCAAGTGACAAAGAAATTGGCACTTGAAAGCACCTGTGGATTAGAAGCTTCCTGTGGTGGTTACTGCATCATGTTCCAGGAGTGGCCAAGGGATTTTAATCATCCTGCTAATGAATCTGGACATTAGCATGCCTTGTTGTGATAATACTGCTTAGTCATTTCTGGCTATAGAGACATTGCTTTGTAGAACTGTTTTCCTGGGAGTTTCCATAGCTTTTTGCTTAGAGCTTCCCCTCCCAAGATCCCCTGATAAAGCATAGGCCAAGCTGTACCCCTTCAACTGATTCTGAGCTCAGGGTGCCTTGAGCACAAGGTTCAAGGTGCTTCTGTCTGCCACACCTTTCTTGTGATCTGCATTGTGCCCACAATCATCTCTGGGTGAAAGGTGCTGGCCTCCATCACTGGTGGCTGTTTCATAAGCGAGGTCTCTAGAAGGCAGCTGGTTGCAGAACAAGGTCATAGGGTGGAAGCCTCAATTCCCTCTTGTCTTGGTGCTTAGGTTACTGCAGGAGGTGACTATCTTAGTTCTGTGATGGCTTTTTAGTCTCAGAGGCATGAAATACCTGCTTCCATAGTCTCCTGCCATTCCCAAAGGATAGGAGAAGTGGTAGGAGGTGCTGAGTGTAGAGTACTTCCTTATCCCAGTCTATTTGGAGCCATGTGCAGGTAAGGAAGAAGGAGTTGCTCTATTTGAGCTGCACCCTTACAGAGTAACGTTGCTTGGGGCATGAGATGTGTGTATCAGGCTCATCTTAGTGTGCAAGTTCTAAGGACCTTGAGCAGCTTGCACTGTGTGTTTATGATGCCTGTTCATTGTCTAGTAACCTCTCAGACACCAGTGGCAAATTGGAATGAACTGCAGTTTGCTGCTAGTGAAACCCTGTTTGCTTCTTCTTGGTCCTGTTTCTCTTCCAGTGAGGATGCCATGGAATATTCAAAAGAGTTTGTGACTGCAGTCGTGCTTGGCAAAGATCTAGTGCCCAGGCAAGTTGAGAAGAGTCCGAATTCCTTGATGAGTATCTGCTGCTCTGTACCAGTCACCTATTTCCAGTCAGAAACACCCAGATCATACCTGTCTTGTTTCCTCATTTACCTGTCCGTGTCTGCTTCTCACTTGTCCTCCTGGTTACCTGCACCTTTTACCTGGACACCTACATTGGTGTTTTATATACCTTTTTATAGGCATATCCCTCTCCATCTCTCAGTCGCCTGTATGAAATAAAAAGGTGAATATCCAGCCTCTGTGATTATACTCATGGTCGTACCTGACATGCCAGTGCCATCTTCGTGATTGTCTGTGTTATCTCAGTCCTCTTCACTCTGAGCTAGATGTGCTCTCATCACATTTTGTAGTGCTGCCTATCATCTCACACCTCTGAACCAGCTCCCCCATTCCTTGTCTTGGCATTCCTCACTGCTTGTCATCTCCTGTGACACATTCTGCTGAGCAGGGCAATGGGCTAGGAGTTTTATTTTAACTTTTAACCCGGGTTTTATTTTAACTTCTGCCCCATTGTGTGACCTTAGACAATTTTCATCTGTACAGTATCAGGTATGTAGAGTTAGTGTAGGAAGAGTACTGTGATGTTCTCTATATCATAGAATCACAGAATGCCCTGGGTTGCAAAGGACCACAAAGATCATCTAGTTCCACCCCCCTGCTGTGTGCAGGGTCGCCAACCACCAGACCAGGCTGCCCAGAGCCACATCCAGCCTGGCCTTGAATGCCTGCAGGGATGGGGCATCCACAGCCTCCTTGGGCAACCTGTTCCAGTGCCTTCTGTTAAGCTGTAAAAGAGAATCTTGTATATTCTATAATGTTTTATGTTGTCATATAGCTCTGTGCTATCTTTCTGGATTTATCTGTTCTGTGGCATTCTATACTTGAACTGTTTCGTGTCTCCTTGTTTTCTCTGATTGCTCCACCACCCTCATCTGTTCACTGACTTCTTATATCTATGTTTACTGCTCTGATTCTGTTATTGCATTTCACACTTGTTTGTTGTTACAGTGGCTTCCTGTCGCATTTTACCCTGGTTACTGGTCCCAGCTGATGGCACAACTCACCTCTGAAGTGATCTGCATTACTGTTGCATTCTTGTTTCTTTTGTAGCATAGTTTCTTATTGTTCTGCACTATATGTCTCTGCTGTCCTGCTCCCTGTCTGCTGTTCCCTGCGCAGCTGTTATAAGCACATCTTCCTCTCTTTCCAGAATTGGTCTCTCTCAGCTGGAGGGATTTCGCAGGCAGCTTCTGGATGTTCTTCAGAGAAGTAACAAACCAAAGGTGAGAATGAGGATGAGCAGATTCTCGAAGGCAAGTGTCTGAGCAGTGATGATAAAGTTTCACTGTCACACAGCAATACTGCAGGCTTCTCCTGACTCCCAGATCTCCTCAGATCCACCATCACTGTTGTTTAGGTAAACAGAGGGATGATGGAAGCAGCTGGAGAGGACAGGGCTGAGAGAAACACTCTGCTTGCAGGCTGGCTTGTAACTCTATGGCAATTCTGGCTCATGTGCTGGGGGTTCATCATCACATGTCTAAAAAAACTGAGAAGGAAGTTTTGTCATCTGAGCCTGTTTGGAAGTCTGTGTTGCAGCTGTAGCTTTTTCTGGCCAGTAAGAAGTGATTGGTATCAGGCTGGGAAGTGCAGCATCTGTCTGCTTGTAGGCACTGTTTTGTGCTCTCCAGGTGGTGCTGTTCCAGGGTAAGTGGCCTGTTAATGTTTTAGAGTTAAGAAACGTGCAAAATTGTTCTTCCCTGGGTTTCCTTACCATTACACTGAGGTGGAAAGACCATCAGATTTTAAAATTGTTTCTAAAATTCTAAGATGTTAGAGAGATAATATCTGTAGGGTAAAAAACTGAGCGGATGTTGTTTCTTGGTAGAATTCTGTTTTGCTGTTGTTTCAGTAAACTTTTGACTTTTAGGTTTGGGTTTTTTTAGTGCGTAAATAAAAGCATAAGGGGAATTTTTGTTTGCTTAAGTACCTTTTCTTCTCTCCATGCATTAAAAATTCAGATTCTCTTTACCTTGTTTGTCCTTGAAGATGTCCCATTGGTGGACAAAGATGTGCTTGTTCTAGATCCCTGACTCTGCAAAAACATCCACAGCAAGATTTTGCTACTTTTAAGGTTAAAATAAGGAAAGGAAAGAAGTGCAGGATTATTTCTCCTAAGGTTCAAACAGCAGGGACACAAACTCTGTTTTTTTTCCCCTCCTTTCTAGCATTAAGTACTCAGTTCAAGTAAACCTATCGACAGTACATTGTGAGACAGCTCTGCTTTTCTAATCTTTTGCTCTTCTCCATATTCTCCCACCATTCCGTGGTGTTGGACAGTGGCGGATCATTGTGGGTGCTACCAAGTGCATACCCAAGTCAGAGCTTCCTGAAGAGGCTGAGGAGAACTCGGTAACGAGCAACCGCCTCTGGACCCACCCCAGTGATCTGACCATCGCCCTGTCTGCCAGCACACCGCTCTACCCACCTGGCCGCATCATCCATGTGGTGCACAATCATCCCGCAGAGCAGTGCTGGTGAGTTCCAACAGAACATAAATTCCCAGGAGAGCAATCCATCTGTGAAGGAAGTGGCTTTTTTCACTGCCTTACGGTGGCAGTGATTGCAGTGTGAGGGTAGAAAGATACTCATGTCACTATGCAGTGCTTTAGAAGAATGTGTACCTAATATCTCCTCCTTCTGTTTTTCCTCCTGTTGTTTTTTTCTGTCTCTGTAACCTGCTGTTTTGCATGCCAAAACACTGGCTTGCTCTTCCGTCCCCTGCTCCTTGTTTTCTCCTCTGGATCCCAACTCCTTTTTTTAGTTGCTGTGAGCAAGAGGATCCCACTTACTTTGCTATCTGGGGTGACAATAAGGCATTTAATGAAGTGATCATCTCACCAGCAATGTTGCACGAACACCTCCCATATGTGGTCATGGAAGGGCTCAACAAGGTAATATTGAGAATTGGGGTCTGAGGGTGGGGAAGCGTGATACAGTGGACTGAGCTTGAATGCAAGGGAGGCCTGGGTTTGGGCAGCAAAAGCGTGGCATTGTGAGGTGAGCTGTAGGCACAATATCTACAGAGCCAAAACTCTGTGTGTATTGGAGAGTCAGGGATACTCTGGGTGGGATTTGGGCTTATTAATTCTCACTGCAAGAGCACTTCTGTGCCCTTACATGAGGTATTAACGTGAGGTTGGGTGGTGTGTGGTTTGTCCTCTCAAAGCTGGCTGTTACAGCTTACAGTTCAGGTGAAATGTTGTGAGCTGTGACAGCACTGGATGTCCATGCGTGCAGCTGCACAGGGTAGTTCATAAGTGTTGCTGCAGCCCCTGTTAGCCTGTGGAGTGTCTGAGTTTGTGTAGTGGTTGTGGAATGGGTCTCTGCCTCTAAATGACGATTTGTAGCCATGCAGCTCTACCTTGAGTTTTAGCCAAATCTACTGTGCTGTTCTGGTCTGAAAGCTGTTCCTGACAGCATCTTTGGTAATCTCCCCTCTCCTGGATTCCCAGGGACATCCTGACAGGGTAGACTGCCAAAATATGTTCATTTAAACCTTTATGTCAAGATCTTTCCATGTGCTTGTGGAAAGCATTGGTAAGAAACACAGTGGCAAAACCAGCAGTTGAGAAGTTCTGAGCTGAGAAGAGTGAAGCTGCTGCCTCTGCTGAAGCACTGCTGTTCCTCTGCTTGCCTTGCATAGGTCTTAGAGAATTACAACAAGGGGAAAACAGCCTTACTTTCTGCAGCGAAAGTGATGGTGAGCCCTACAGAAGTGGATCTCACTCCAGAGTTGATCTTCCAGAGCCAGCCCTTGCCTAGTGGACCCTCTGTGCAGATTGGAACTGGAGCCCTAACAGCAGACAGAAGGAACAGCAGTACAAAGTAAGAATTACATCTTGGATTTCATTGGAGGGCTGTTGGCATGGGGTGTGGATCCTCTCTTGGGGCATTGTGATCAGTAGTATAGATCCAAGGACTGCCTGTATGACACTTCTAATTAATGTGACACAAGACATGATGAATCCAGGAGAAAAAAAAAAGATCCCTTGTGTAGCTCAAGAATCTGTGAGTGCAGCAGGATCAGGAAAACCTAGGAGTTGAAAATATGGAAGGTTCCTTTTCTTATCCAGACAAGTAGGCTTTTCCCTGGAAGCAGAAAAGCAAAGCTTGCAGTCTTGCAGCCAAATCTGTGTGTGAATGATGTGGCCAAAGATAGCCCATGGCACTGATTCTCAAAAGCTGTGAAGCGGTGACAGCCATAAGCTTACAGCACACAGACAGACATGTGAAGTTACTTTATGTAAAGTGACTTGCATAATTCTATAAACTGGAGAATCTGGGAATATGGATATGGTTGGGCAGGGTTACAGAACAACTATCAAAGCAATGTAACGTGAGGAAAGAGCAGCTGGTGTCCTGTTTGGCTCTCGGGAAGTTCGCTCTGGTGGAAAGCAGGCAGAGGAAAAGTCATGTTCTAAGTGCTGGAAGCATTCCTGTAGGGAGTGGGTTTTTTTTATTGTCCCTGGCTATTGGATACTGGCATTGTTATTCTGTCAAGGGCCAAAAGGTTCATCTAGGAGGTATACAAAGGATTGGTTTGAGTAAGACTTCCATCTTATAGAATACATAAACTGCTTCCTATCCAGGAAAAAATGACAGGGAGACTCCCTGCTGGTTTTCAGGTAGCAACTGAGGTTTTGCAGGAGAGCACAGGTTTGTCTTTTTGGTTTCTTTCCGTGCACATTTTTTGTGTTTGAGACTTATTTCAAAATAGAACATATGACTTCCACCACAGCATTGCATTATAGAAGGCAAACCTGCAGACCAAATAGGAAAGTGAGAAGATGAGAGGGAAGGTAGTTTGTACTTGAAGATGGGAGGCACAATGAAAACAGAAAAACATTGTAAGAGGCATTTCTACCACTTCTGTAATCCAATAAAGCTTTTTTTCTTTTTTTTTTTTTTTGTAATACATACAAGCTGTTGTACCATTGATGATTTTATAAAGTGGAAACTGTTCTGCTTATATTCTTGTAGTTGATTCCTGTAAATATTCTTGTTCTACCCCCTGCCTCCATAAGAAGGTGGAGGTGCAGAATAAGCTCAAGATAAGATTTCCTTTGCAAGGGAAGGACTTCTAGAACAGAGATCTCAGGTAGAGACCCAACAAGAAGCTGTGTGCACCTGGGTGAGGTGCTTTGAGTGATGCATGGCTGAGCCTCTGTGAAGTAGCACAAGTGAAATGTGAATTTTAAAAAAAGTAAAAAATGTCAGCAAATGATAGAAAAATGTTAAGGCTTTTGTTGCAGCGAGAGTGGCCAGAGACAGCAAAGGAGAGCTGAGATAGCTGAGTGGAAGAGGAGGCAGCAGCAGCTTGTGATGAAGACAGAAAGACAGAAAACGTGTAGGTCAAACAGCAGGGACAGGAGTGATGACTTCTGTCAGAGCAGACCGACTGCTTCCTTTAGAGGTGAGTGAAGGCAGAGTGGGAATCCTGAAGTACTGTTCTGAAGGGAATGGAGAAGAGGGCAGAGAGGTTTGTGGCAGTTGTTAAGGGAGGCAGAGTTCTAGCCAGATTAACTAAAGGTCAGAGCTAGTTTACTGCCTCAGACTTTCTCCTGGAGTTCTTGAAATCTCTTCTCAGAACATTACTGCTCCTGAAGATAAAAAATGCAATAGTGCATTGCTCTGGTTAGATCAGCGACACGTGACCTCAGTGTGCATGAGGGAGTCTGTGCCTCAGGTTTGGTTTTGTGGCTGTTCTGGCAGCTTGTGGTTCTGAGGAGTGAAGCAGCCTCACGTTCTCTGCTTGTCGTTGCAGGAGCAAGTCCCATTCTGAAATCAGCTTGGAGGGGTTTTATGAGACAAAGCCACTTTCTCCTGTGCAGAAAGACCCTGTGGAGCTTCTTCTCCTGGACACAAAGGAACGTCTGTCTGTGGAGCTGCAGGACCGCCGTGCCCCTCTGGCGACCATGGAGAGCCTCTCTGACAACGAATCCATCTACAGCTTCGATTCGAGGCGCTCCTCTGGTTTTCGGAGCATCCGAGGCTCCCCCAGCCTCCACGCTGTCATGGAGAAGGATGAGATGCACTGCTTTTATATAGACCCCGCTATCCCTGAGGAGAACCCCTCCCTCAGCTCTCGGACAGAGCTGCTGGCTGCTGATAGCCTCTCCAAGCACTCCCAGGAGACTCAGGCTCCCGACAACGCACTCAACAGCGGTGGCACCACCCCTCAGCGGCGCTGCAGTGAGGAAGGGGCCAGCAGCGAGGGGGACCGCGTTTCCTTAGCCCCTCGTGAGGAGCTGTCCCTCCAGAATGGACGGCTCACCGATGTCCCCAGTCCGCAGGTGCTGGAATTTGCTGAGTTCATAGACAGCCTCTTTAATTTGGATAGCAAAAGCAGCTCTTTCCAGGACATCTACTGCATGATGGTATCAGATAGCTCCAGTGACTTTGTGGAGATGCCCAAGTCTGTTAGTGATCAGGAGATCCTGATGAGAGCACAGTATGAACCCAACTTAGTCCCAAAGCCCCCGAGGTTGTTTGCAGGCTCAACAGATCCTTCGTCGGGCATCTCTGTCTCACCTTCCTTCCCCCTTAGTTCATCTGGAGAGCTCATGGACATCACTCCCACAGGCGTGAGCAGCCAGGAGTGCTTGGCCACTGACAAAATCCGGACTTCCACCCCCACTGGGCACGTAACCAGCCCTGCCAAGCAGGAGGACCTCATGATTTCGGCCCTCTAGTGCAGGGTAAAGGGGTGCGGCTCTGAGAGCTGATCCCATAGGCTGAGTGCTGGGATAATACTCGGAGAGGAGGTGGTCGTCAGGCAGTTGGAATTGGTGGAGACAGCTGGAAACATTCCTTCTGGGGTGACACGGTGGTGGCACGCCGTCTGGAGGATGGATTGTGCTCGAGTACCATGCTTATTGCTGGGAGAAGCATTGCCTCACAAGGCCTGCTACACTGAGAGGGTCTGAGTCACTAAAGGTAGATGCAAGTTCCCTACCTCAGCCTGTCTCATTCCATGTAAGAGGCAGATTCCTTGCCCCAGGGCACCTGCTGAGTTTGGGAGTGAGATACCCTGCTCCAGGGAATTCTCAAGGGCAAAGGGGTAGAAGTTTGAGAGTTGGATAGACAGAAGCAAGGGGGGCAGGCCAGATTCCTGCCTCTCCCCTCCCTTGGTAACATTTCAGTGGTTTTGGAAATGAACGGATTGAGACTTTGGGCCCTGTTGCACTACCATGTCAGATCTGGCCCAAGATCCAATTCGTCACACTTCCATGGGGATTGCCTTCCTGGGACACTCTCCTCTTTTAAAGCCATTGGGGCTGTATTCTCCCCAAATGCAGTCTCCCCTTCCCTGGCCAGGTGCAGCAAGAATTGGGCTGGCACTGTATTATCTCTCCCCTGAGTACTTCTGTGTTCAATGACTGCCAGGCTGCTCCTGAGAGGAACGGAAACTGCTCTGAAAAGCCCAAAGCCCTCTGCCATGTCTCTCCTTCACCAGAAAAGGTTCTCCTGGACATCACCGTCATCACTCGGTGGCCTGGACTGCTCTGAGCTGGCGATGCTTCTGCAGGACTGACAGCATTCTCATCTCAGAGCTGCACGGATGGATCGACTTAAAGATTCACATGGCTCGTCGACACCCAGCGTTGCTTCCTAGGCACTCTAGGATCCCCTCCTGGACCCTGCCAGGTCCTCATGCTACCCATATGCAGTCATCACAGATCAGTGCCAGCCGCTGTCATTGAGAGTTCAGGGAAAAGATGAACTTTTACTAAGTATTGGAACCTCTTGTATGTTTACAAAGCTGCTGAGCTTTCGGAAAGTATTTATTAAGCAAACAGGGAGGCTCTCTCTAGGCAAAAAGTATATTCGTTCTCTCCTCCCTGCGCCATTCCCTCTGGAGGCTGAGGGGAGAGAGGGTAAACAGGTATGCTCACAAATCTCCTGCTTTAGAAGCAGGGTGGAGTGATGGGGGGGCGTTTGGCTCTGAGTCTGGGGGGAGCTGAGTCTCTCGCCCGTTCTCCCTGATGCACAATGTGTGACAAAGCTCAACCAAGTCATTAGTGGGAGTACCTAGTGCTGCTGTGCAGAGCCTCCATGCCCAGAGGAGCCTGCTGGAGCTACCCAAGTAGGGTATCTCCATGGTTTGAAGCAGGAAAGAAATTACCAATCTAGAAAGTTGAACATACTGTGACCTTGTGCAGTCCTTTAACTAACAGAATGTTTTCAGCGGAGTTACCAATGCAGTCTCATTGGAGCTGTGTCCTCCCTCACTGGAAAAGAAATTCCTCTTCTAACTTCCTTCTAACACTAGGGATGTGACTCCCTCCTCCTTAGCTGTGGTATTACCAATGTAGGAAGATGCTGCGCTTCCCAGGAGCTTGGTTTGCAACAGTTCCTGGGCTCCTGTGTTCCCTTAGGCTCTGGCTGTGCTCACCAGCAGCCCTGGTCATGGCTCAGGACTGTGCTGCCCTGGATGCAGCACAGGGAGCACAGCGGTGTCAAATACTGTCACATCAGAGCAGGAGCACTTTATAGCTGCTGTGTGTTGATGTCAGTAACTTCAGGTGCACAGAAATGAACTGGACTTTGTCCAAGTGCTGCTCTCCTGCTCCATTTCGTGTAGGATTCTGTATCCCCCTGCTCTTTAAAAATTACAGGGCCCTTAGAAATGCAGGGCTTTTGTTCAAATGGGCAGTAAAATGTTGTCCCTGTGCGTTAGATCCCAGAGGGGACCTTTTCTATACAGTCTTGATTTGGTGGGAAGAACCCCTCTGAATTAGCTGTAATCTGTAAAAGATAAAAAAAACACTTTGTTCCGAGCAACAAGTTGTTTGTTTTGCTAGTCCTTCAGAACACAGAAGTGTTCCCCTTGCTGGGAGGTGATGGCTCAGGAGCTCATACAGACAGCTGTGTAAGTGCCATCAGATCATCCACCATTGCAGACCACAGGGGAAGGCTGACTTGTGCAGGTAGTCAAGAAGCACTGCAAGGGTGATGTCCAGAAATGGGCACATGGGTAGCTGTGAGGGGAAAGGGAGCTGAAGCACAGGGAGCCTGAGGCTAGCAGGCTAGCTCACCTCCTGGTGCAGACTGCTGCCATGCACATACAGTGGGGAAAGGACTTTGCTTCTGCCTTTAGTTGTTGGCAGAAAGTGGGTAGTAAAAACACTTAGCACTTCGGCAGAGCTTTATATCTGCAAAGCACTTTACAAACATGAAGAAAAGAATCACCTCTGTCCCTGGCAGCGAGCTATTAGGAGATGTCTCTTTGAGACTGGGTGGAACTACTGGTGCCCTATCTGAGGGATGGTGAGGAGATGATGCAAGCTGAGAAAGGTGGATAACTTCCCTCTTAAGAACAAGTTGTTTCACTAGTGACCCGATGCTGAACGGCTCACAGTATTGCACTAGAAAGTCACTTCTGACCTGGATACCTCCCATATGTCCTGGAAAACAATCATGGTGTGACTGTTTCGTTCTCTGTGCCATTGGAACTGTGTCCTTAGGGAATGGGATGACCTTGCCCTGACCAGCTGTAGCAGGAGACAGCCTGGCATGCTGCATTTTTTTTTTTTTTTGCTCTGTGCTCTGTGATTATTGGGCTTCTCTGAAAAGCCTGGAAATGCCTCACATTTGTGACCTGGCCTTGCCATAGACCAAGTCAAGGAGCAAAAGAGCCCTTCTGGTTAACGTTCTGACTGTATTGCATTATGGGTGATTCCTGTTTTTCCATTGCTCTGTTGACAAACAGATCTGTTCCCAGTCCTCACGAAAAGTCCTCACTGAGTAAATCCACATTCTTTGCATTATTCCTGCTTTCAGTGTCTGAGTGTCTTCATTCTTATCACTGCCATGCTGCAGGAGCCTCTGGACAGGCTGGTCTCCTGTTCTGTCCTGGCAAAGTTGCAGACACATCCTAAATCTGTAGCTACATCACTCATACGTACTGCATACTATTCTTGCTTTCTCTGCCCTCGCTCTGCTCTGACACACAGCTGTCTTTGGAAACTTGAAGCTGCTTCTGATTTCTTAATCTCTCAGCTTCTGGGTCCTGCCCTTAAGCTTTGTGCCTCTTGGAGTTTGTGCCTTCCACTGATGTTTCAGTGGGATGTCCCACTGCGTGTGGAGGCAGTGCTGGGAGAGCGGTTCGTGGTGCAATAGCACATCCTCAAATCTTCTGTCAGATTTGCTGGTGCAGGTGTGAAGCTAAGACCACTAATGTCCAGCCCTGGAACATCCCCTGCCCCTGTCCTGAAGGTGTTCACAGGATGCAAGGTATTTGTCATCTGTTTTTACAGCCACAGGCTGCCCTCCAACCCATGGAAGTGAGTTGAAGGAGGCCTCTTTGATAATATTACAGCGAGTTTTGATAATCGAGCCCTTTGCACGTAGTGCTGGCTGAATTAGGAGGCTCTTCTGCGTGAATAGCAATTGCTCTTATTGTTTTAATCACAGCAGTACCAACAAAGCAAGGTCCTGCTGTGCGAGTATGCAGAAGTGCTAAACAGAAAGGCAGCTCTTCCCCAGAGCCTCACATTATGCCCTGTCCTCCACAGAGCTTCACGTGCGTTTTCTGTAGAGCTGATGTTCCCTCATCTCTGTGCTCCCTATTCCTGTTGCCAGGAGCTACCTCATTTCTTGGTTACCATCTCAGGATGATGGGGTGTCTTTGTGTGCATCCTGGGTAGCATTACCTAAAAAGCTGTCCCTGCAGATCTTGAGGTGACCCAAAACACAGGTGAATGGGATTCCTGATGCTGTGCATCATCCCTGGATTCCTGTCTTGCTGCACTTCTGTGGCAGATAAAGCTATCAAGAAAGGTCAAAGTACTTTTGACACCAGGAGGCTTGGCAGATGCATCTCGGCATCTGTGGCTTTTGCTTACCTGGTTTTTGATCAATATTTTCAGTGTTCATTCATAATTTCTGCAACCTTAAGAACTGTTCAAACCACACAGGAGTTTTCTGAGATGTTTTGCTTGCTACAGAGGACTGAGGTGGCAAAGCTAGTAGTGAGCATAGACATATAAATCCAGTGATCCCTGCTTATTTGCTTTTAGGATGTTGTTAGCTGAAGATCCCAAGCAGGAGCAGGACTGAACTGCTGCTGTCAGTGGACAAGGGCACCTGGAGGGGAAGAGCACCGAGGTTATGTGTTCCTTGGGGACTGTGTGCTCCTCGGAGATTCTCCTGCTATGGCAATCTCTCTTGGCACATGGTCTCCAGCAGAGGAAACAGAACACAGCTGTTCTGTGTGAAGCCCACGGAACTGGGTGAACATGGTACTGCTTGGGTTATTTGACTTTACCAGGTGTCTTTTTGATTTGTCGTTGCTCCAGGTTCAGTGATCCCAGCCTCAACGTGCTCTAAAGCTTCTTGTTTTTGATTAATACTGCTTCCCTCTTTTAGTCCCTGCTGCAGCCTGTTTTCAGGCTGGCTGATGAGATCTGTGCTGTTGATTTGTAAAATACTTCTTTTTCATATATTCTTTATGCACTTACCTCCTATTAATTGCTGCCAAATTGTGCGTGCCAGCATGTTTAGAGCTTTCCTTTCACAGCTGTTTCCCTACGGGGAGGACTGGGATAAGGCAGCTCAGTCTTTACCAGCCCCAAATCCACATTTTTTTTGTCCCTTGTCATTGTATTGGCACCCTGCTGCTTGCCCCTTTCCTAGTATCCAAACAGGATGCACGTTACCCTGTCTATGCAAGCAGTGCCTGGGTTCCTCTATGTGTTTTACAATTGAATAAATGTGTGTCTAGGTACAGAGAAACTTGCTGGGGTGTCTTTATCTGAGTTTATCTAGTGAGCTACAAGCTCCTGCTTGCTTCTGCTGGGTGTCATGTGCACACATGAGTGCTGCACACATTCACCAGTGCTGGCCATATCAAAATCTCCCAAGGACATTTAAGATCACTTCTAGCCCCAACAAACCCATCAGCTTTGCCATTTGCTTAATTACAGAATGATATAATTGGGTTGGAAGGGATCTTAAAGAACATCTAGTTCAGCCCTCTTGGTGAGGGAGCTTAAAAGCTCTTCCAGCTTTCCTCCCGTCTGTAGCATTGCACTTCTTTCTGCTTAGACAGTTGAAGTCTGAGATCCCCTCCATGCAGTCACTTGTTTCTGATCCCTTCTTCTCTTTCAGTTCACCCCACCAAATGTGGATTTTTGCCGAGCTGTTTTTTAACTATTCTGCTGCCAACAGAACTCCTCTGCGCTTTAGGAAGCCCGCAGATGAATTGTGTGATCCTCTTTCTAGTTGACAAAGCTTAGGGTGGGTAAATTTTTGTTGGCTGAATTCTTCCTTGGTAGCTCTAGAGAAGTAATACGTTAAAGAAGTACAAAGAGGTGGAAGGAAAATGAGTAGAATAGCTGACACTTTGAACCTAAAAGCTCACATTTAGAAGAGAGATTTGCTTCCTGGCAGGTGAGGTGTCAGTTTCAGAGCTGGATTTAGGCAAGAAGTGCATCTCTTGTGCCAAAGCTCCCCCTCATGGTGCTGCCGCATTGAGGAGGCTGTGCTCCATGTCGAAGGGGAAGTGTGAGAGGTGCCAGTGCTCAAGCAATACCCTTTCCCCCTTGCTAGATCAGGAGTGAGCAGTGTTCCCTCCCAGGGGCAGTCCGTGCCCCTGGGAGGCCTGCAGTTCCAGCTGAGAGTAGGGCCTTTGCTGCCCAGCCAAGTGAGTCTTACACCTGGGAGAGGGGCAGAGCCCAGAGCCAAAGCTGTTTCACTTGTAAGATGTTGTTAGGATGGAGAACTGTTTTACAGAGAAGGTCAGTAGCCTGCAGTCTGCTCTGCAGAGCAGCAGTGCTGCTGACTTGCTTGTGTGGCTGCCAAACTTCGACTCTTTTCTTCACCATCTCCCTACTGTATCTGTGCCTAGCACTTCCCTAGCCTTCACTCTTCGTGTAGCATGGGTGGATGCTGCCAGCCTCAGCTTTGCCTGCTGCAGGCATTGCACATTGGGTGTGTGAAACAGTTGAGGAGCAGTTCCTTGTAATTCATAGCACTTTGCACTCCTGAAAAGCACCAGGAAACTTACACTGCTGTCTACAAGCACTTAGCTATCTTCATGGTTGATTTTGCTTGTTTTCTTGTGCCTTCTGTTTTCCATTGGCTTGATGTCCTGCTTGGGGTCAGGCATCTGCCGGCTTCCTCTTCTGCTCTGCATGGTTTCTTCTCTGGCTGTATGAGTGGAGATGTGGCATGGCCAAGGACTGTGCTACAGGTACCCCTCTCTCTGGACTTGTCACGCTTCCCATTGTCCCCTGCACCCTCACATTGTCTCCAAGTGCCAACAGCAAAGCCTGACAAGCGACGTTTTCTTTTCCCCACACTGCCCTTAATCTGTGGCCCCTCAGTTCTGGATCCTCCTCTTGGGCAAAACAGGTGTTTCCTGTGCAGTAGGAGGGGAAGGTTTCTCAGCATTTCTTTCCTTTGGTTTATGTGACCTCAAGTGTGTTTGGAAGTTCCTCTAAGCTCTATCCACGGGTAAATCTCCTCTGCTCAAGATCTGACCCGTTTTTGCAAGGACTGATGCTGAAAGGGACATAACACGTTCTGAGCTGCCCCGTGCAGTTCTGATTTTACTGACGTTCCCAGGCTGGTTCTGGAACAGCCATCTCCCAGAGGTAAGTGTCTCTCTTTGGAGATCTGGGCATTTTTGCAGCTCTCATTGCTCTGTATGAGTCCTGACCTCATCACCTCATTCTGTGCTTTGTTTTTCATTTATGGAAGCTCCCCACCCACCCAGCACATCCGTACGATGAAGGGACCTTTATCTGGCTCCTTATTCCTGCAAAACCATTAAACACAGCAGCACAGAAACAAGCATCTTTCTTTTTTGAAATGGGGATCCTACTGCCTTGCTTCCCATCCCTTTGTGCAGTTCTGATGGCTCAGAGTCGGAGGTACCCGGTGCACGTGGCAATACCGAAGCAAGGTGTATTTGCTAGCTCACTGCCACACACATTTCTGGGGTTTTCTCTCCTTTATCAGCATCCCCATAGTGCTCACTGGCCGCTGTCTGCTGGCCCAGGGGCAGCTGCTGAACCTGCAGCTTCCTAGCTTTCCTCCGCAGGCACTGCAGCGCTGGAGGTGATGCCCAGATAACGGTCTCAAGCTCGTTCCTGTCTCAGCGATAAACCTCGCTTGTGTCAGCACGGCGCCTGCACTCATGGCGTGGTACCAGAGGGGCTCTTTACCCTCAAGCCCCCTCTGTTAGCTCAGCTGTTGCTGCGCTGTCGTGCTGCGATGGCCACTTCTTACACCTCTGCTCCATCTCAGCTGAACCAGAGGAGCCGTGGGAAGCTATTTCCCTTCTCCCCGTGTTGTTCAGTGCCAGCTGTGTTGCTGCAGTCCAGCTGCAGTCCAGCTGCGTGGCCTGTTTGTTGGTGGGGGCTCCACGCAGCGTGGCAGATGGTGATTTCTTTGCCTCCCCCTACCCTCTGTGTCAGCAGACGCCGATGCCTCTATGGAAAAAGTCACCTGTGTCACACCCTGTGACAGCTCATACTAGGGTGGCTATGAGTTTGCTCTTTGATCCCAGTTGCCTCTTTAGAGGTAATGCCTTTCATGCTTATGTGTAGAACGGCCCTTCTAGGGAGCTTTCTGCAGGACTCGGGGCACTTATGTATGCAGTCAGGGGGGAAAACAGCACAGGATCCTGTGTTCCCATGCTCAGCTGAGAGATCACTGCCTGTCCCAGCAATGCTGCCCTCTGGATCCCTGCTCCGAGCTGCCCCAGCATGAAGACTACAAGGAAACTAAAGCACTCTTCATGTGCCATTCTCACTTGACTTTTTGTACGTATGTATGAAAGTTCTAAACTAATATTGCTGTAAAGAAAGATACAGATTAATATAGCATATTATATAAAGATATATGTATATAATTTTTTTCCCTATATTGTATGGCACTGTATAAAATGAATGTCGAAGCATGACTGGTGTATGTGACTGTTCCCAAGCCTGACCAGGGGAATGACAGCTGTGATTTGCCTGAAGTTTTGTCCCAAAGGGTTGTGCATGAGTTTGGAAGCCTGCACTGTGCTCTCTCATTGCAGTGGGTCGTGGTGTGAGGTGCTGCATCACTGTGGCTGCCTGGGGAACAATCCCAGTGCTGGTCTCCTTGCCAGCTCTGTCCCTTTTGGATCTCAGCCTTCAGTGCAATGGGAGAAACATCCCTACAGAGCAAAGGACACTGCTTTGTGTAGGTTTGTCAGGCAGGATATGAATGCCTGGTGCTGTTTATGGATGAATAATGCCGTAACCATGAATATTCTGGATGGAGGAAAGCAATAGAGGAGGAAGGAGAAATGAGGGAAGCTGGGGGAGCAGGGTCAGGACAGGAGCAGGAGCTTTCTGAGCAGCACTAGGAACGCAGGCTGGAAAAGGAATGCCTGGAAGAAAATAATGCTGTTAATCACTGCACGGAATAGTTTCTGGGGTTGTTCCTGCAGAGACTGAGTACTGTTAGGGAGTTAAGAGTTGAGGGGTGGCTGAACTACTGAGTTCCTATAAAAATGCCCGTAAAAAGTGCTGGTATGTTTAAATGCCTGCCTGACGCTTTGTTTTGTTTTGTTTTGTTTTCCTACCCATAAGTATCAGCTAGTCTCATAAAAAGATATTACTTCTATAAACACTTCCTCTCTCAGAGAGAGAAAACCATTAAACTCTGGATCCTACCCTTGTGTAAACACAAAATAATCCATGCTGTGGAGGGACTGTTCCAATACAGTTGCTAAGGAGGAAGCTTATGAATGCAATCCCAGCAGGCACTGTGGATGTCGCTTTGAGACCTGTTTCACTGTTGAAAGCCCTAGCAGGGATGGAGCTGCTATTCCCAAGACCACCCTCTGGCTATTTGGTACGACGGTGGCTACAGGAGGGATTTAGCAAGGAAAGTTTTTCAGCTCCTTGGCCATAAAGTGCCACAGCAGAGGGTGCTGTGCTTGTGCTGGCAGTGCTGCAGGCACCCTCAGGGCTGGAGTAGTGCTGCCTGCCTGCTCCTAGGGCTCGCTGCACAGCTGGCCATACAAACAGCCATGCTGCTGGAAGATCTCGAGCTGTGCTGGGTGAAGCTTGAGATGCGAGTGCAGCAGGAGCTCCTTTTCTGCCTGCTCAGCAGGCTTCTTGTGCTTCTGCTCGTGGCCGTCCTGAACCCAGCACTGCTGGCTCCGGTGCTGCTGCCTGCAGCCATGAAAGCTCCCCCAGAATGCGTGTCCCTCGCTGGCGACCTTCCTTTATCCTTTTAATCAATGGTGGTGTTCTCTCCATCTTGGGAACAAACCTCTCGTAGTTAATGGATAACCAGGGAGAGATTTATCAGCATCGTTCTCTTGCCAAGAGGAGATAACCGAGCAAGCCTGCAGTGCTCTGCTTCCGCCTGCAGCAGCTGCCTTGGGTGTGGATGGGGCATCCAACAAGGGCAAGCCCGCATCCTCCGCCGCCTCCCTGCCTGCTGTCTGATTCTGGAGGAGGTGCGCAGCCTCAGCACGGGGCTCTCAGAATAGAGAGGCTCGTGAGGATGCACCTTGCTTGATCCACCTGCACTGCCTTTGTGGTGTGCTGGTCCCACACCTGGGAGAGCAAGGTGCCCGTGGGATGCGTTCCTGTATGGCTGGCCGTTGTTGCTGAAATAAGCCAAGTAGGTCTCCTGCAGCTGTGTGTTCATGTGGGACATCTTGCCCCCAAAGCATTGGTACTGTGGTTGTCTTTCCACCTGGTTTTGCGGCTCTCCTGGGAATCGAGGCTCTTCACCAAGCATTTCTTCCATCCTTCGAGCCCCTTGGAGCCCCACTTTGTCTAGAAACTGGCAGGAGTTGCATAATGCGTGAGTGAGGGGCAGCCCAAGCAAGCAGAGTTTTGTTCAGGTGGCTGCACTGCTTTCATTCTGAAATGCCTTCGTTTGGCACAGCTGGCAGGAGGATCCCAGAAAAACCATGCTTGCTGAGGGGGGAGAAATTGCAGCAGCATTTGAGGCAAAGAGAAGTTGTAACGCAAAGCAGAAAGCTGTCGGGCAGCCTGGGGACCCACAAAGAGGAGAGAATGCAGCATCTGCAGGAGGATGAGGCTGTTCCCAGCAGGCAGGCAGGGAGCAATCTAGGATGTACCTTACACATCTGTGATAACCCTATCAGCAGTGTTGAAGCTGGCGTGGCCAATGACCCCAGAGTGAATGACTCTCCTTTGTACCGTGCTGATGAATATCCCAGCAGCATCTCCTCTGCTCCTGCTCACTTGTCACCACAAAGGGTCTGAGGTTTCGGAGACCAAAAACTCCCAGCTGTGTTTGAGAACACGGGGTGAGGGGTGGGGGGCACTGAGTTGTATTTTGGGTTTCAGCTGAACTTTGGAATTTAGTGCTGGAGGGAGCTAAAGCCGCACCTTCCATGAGTAATATCCTTCCACCCCCTCCTTGGCTTGTGCTGCCAACCAGCCCTGTGGCATAGAGAGAGCGGAGTGTGCAGAGAGGGTGAGCTGAGGGAAGGGAGAAAGGGGTTCTGCGTATCCCAGCGAAGGAGTGAGGGCTGCCCAGAGAAGCCAGGGCTGCCTCATCTGTGCGTGAGATGGCCAGGCTGGATGGGGCAGCCTGATCTGAGCCCTAAGGCAGGGGTTGAGGCTGGAGGGGCTTTGGGTCCCTTCCGACCCAATCAGTCCGTGGTCTTTAAAGACCTTTGGGGTCCCTTCCAACCCAACCGTTCTGTGATCTTTGACGTCCCTTTCATTAGCTCCAGGAATGAGACTGGGATGAGAGCAGTCATTCCCACACTCTTGAGTCCAGTGGGGTTGTTTGTTGGGGTCAGGAGCCTCAATTCTGGGCTCTATCACCTGTTGCAAGCCTTGGGCTCTACACTGAATGCAAATTTCCACAGAGCAAACATTTTGCTTCCTTCCCACGCAGCCCGTACCCAAAGCTGGTGGGGGGGGGTGTGAGGAACAAGGGCTGCGGGGCAGCAGAGAATAACAATTGTCTTAAGGGAAAGAGGCAGAGAGGAGAAAAAAAGGGCTGTTGAGCTCTTTCTTTCCATCCCTGAAATAATAGACCCATTACTGTCCCCAAACCTCAGCCCCCCTCCCCTCCCCGGAGAAGAATTGGTCACTGCACAGCTGTGCGAGCGAGAAAAATATATTTATATATATCAGAGAATCTGCCCTTCTGAATTGGTGCGCGGGGTCGGACAAAACCTCATTGTGCGCTTTATCTGCCCCGCACAGAATGGCCCCACAGTCTCGGGCTGGCAGGGGCTCGCCTTTCGGTGAACTGCGGTCGGATCGCTGTGACTTCCTTTAGATACCGTCCCGTTATGAGGGGGCGAGGGGGGAAAAGGCCAGAAAACACCGCCGACCCGCAAAACACCGCCGACCCGACCCTCGTCCTCCGCCCGCCGGGCCGCGGCGAGCATCGGCCGGGAACGCCGCGGAGCCGCGGGCCGCCGTACGGAGCGGGGCCGCCCCGCCGCGCTGCTTTCCGCGGCCGGCAGGGGGCGCCGTGCGGG